TCCGGCCTTACCTAGGTGTCTTCATGGATGTCTACCTTGACGACATCGTCATATACACGAACACGCTTGAAGAGCACGTTCGCGCCGTCAAGAACGTGCTTGAGGTGCTTGCACGCGAGAAGTTCTATTTGGGTGTTAATAAGCTGCACTTCCTCGAACCGGAAGTGCGCGTACTTGGGCGTATCGTCGATGCGAATGGCATTCGGGTCGATCCCGCTCGCGTCGACGAGATCGCGAAGTGGCCGGTGCCTACGAATAAGAAGTTAGTCCGTGCATTTTGTGGCGCGGTGGGCTGGCTCGCCGATAATGTCGCCGAGATTGCCGCGCCTTTGGGCATTCTGCACGATTTGTGCGGCGAAACTCACCGATGGGAGTGGGGATTCACGCAGCAGCGCGCGTTTGAGGACTGCAAGCGGCTTGTGAGCGCGAGCAAGCGCATTTCGCGCCGCGGCATCACCCTCGGGCCGGATGGCAAACCGACCTCGCGCGTTTGGCTTCTGACCGACGGCTCTAAGTCGTCTTTGTCAGGAGTAGTCGTTGAAGGGGAGGACTGGCGTACCGGAACGGTAATCGCGCTCTTCTCAGCGAAGCTGAGTACGACTCAGCAGAATTATCCTGTACACGAGATCGAGATGTTAGCTGGCGTGGAATCAATGCAGCGGCATCGCGACTTACTTCAGGGATTCCACTTTACGTGGGTGACTGACCATCGTGGTCTTGTCCATCTTCTGCGGCAGCCAAACCTTTCGGGGCGGCAAGCGCGCTGGCTTGAGAAGTTGGGCGAGTTTGACTTTGAAGTCGTGTACCTGCCAGGCGTGGATAATGTATTAGCTGACGCACTATCGCGCATATACGAGGGCGACGCACCTGGAACGCTGCGCTCTCCCTCTGAATATACATCCTTTGATGAGGATGGCTCCGTTGATTATGACGGTATGGACATTACTCGACCACTTGTGACCGAGCTTGGCGCTCTGGCGATTGCGCCAGAGGCTGAGGACGACGTCGCTCCTCGCCGCGGTCGAGGGCGTCCAAAAGGCTCGACGAAGGCCTTTAACGACTGGGTTCGTCGTCTCGCCGCGAAGAAGGGATCCGTCCGCTTGATTGTGGGCGATCACGCAGCGGATGGCGACTCTGAGAGACGCGCGCCGCGTCTGGAGGGGGGAGACGACCCTGTCGAACCCATTGCAAGTGACCCGAACGCGTTTGAAGACGAGATGAGCGAGAAGGAAGCAGCGCAGAACGCGCTGCCAGCTCATCACGCGTTTGCTTCCGATCAAGCCACGCGAGGTGATGTCAGCGGAACATCACATTCGGCATCTTCCGAGTACCCCTCGGGTACCCGAGAGAACGCGCACTCGCGCGCTGTCGAAGACAGCCCGTCGTCGCCCGACGTCGGCAGCCCAATTACAGAGGATGCGAATATAGACATACCTAGTGCTGTCCAGATGTCGGAATCTGAACCAGAACACCCGACAGGCAAGACACCAGCCTCAGCAGAGGAAACACGTGTCTCGACCTCGGTCGGCGCGGAAGGTGACGAAGATAATGATATCGCACCTCCTAGCCTCACGGAACCTATCTTGACGGCTATACCCAATCACACACGGGGTGTACGCATTGAAGATCTGATCCGGGATAAGTATCAGGACGATCCATTCTTTGCCAAGATATTGGAAGAACCCAGTCACTTCCGAAACTTTGAGGTGGTTGACGGACTCATCTTCCTGAAGCAGGACTCTCGTCGTCTGCTGTGCATTCCGAACATCAAGGAAAGTGGTCGCTCCGTGCGAGGACTCATTATTCAGGAAGCACACACCTTACTCGCGCATCTCGGTGCCGCTAAGGTTATCCCCGTGCTCCGTGATCAGGTGTGGTGGAAGACGCTGGTGCCTGACGTACAGAAGTTCATTGCGTCGTGCACCACGTGCGCTTGGAATAAGCCCAGCAATCACAAGCCGTACGGGCTATTGAATCCCCTGCCGGTGCCTGGCACGCCTTGGGAAGCTATCGGGATAGACTTCACGGGTCCCTTTCCCGAGAGCGAGAATCACAATGGGACCTTCAATTACCTTCTCGTCGTGATCTGCCTGCTGACCGGCATGGTACATCTTATTCCGACGCGTACTAATGTGACTGCCAAGACTCTGGCATACATTATCTTTGCGGAAGTCTATAAGCTACATGGGCTCCCCAAGTACATAGTCAGTGACCGGGATTCGCTCTTCACGAGCATATTCTGGACTCACCTGCACAAGTTGATCGGAACGGAACTGCGCATGTCAACCGCATACCATCCGCAGACCGACGGATCAACTGAACGGGCCAATCGGACAGTTGTCCAGATGATACGCGAATGCGTCGAGCCCGCTCAATCGGACTGGGTCCTGAAATTGCCGGCGGTTGAGTTTGCGATCAACTCCGTGCGCTCGGAGAGCACGGGGTATGCACCGTTCTTCCTGAATACTGGTCGCATGCCCCGCGCCATGATCTGGGAGGACGCACCCACGACGGAATATCCCGGGGTGCGGACTTATGCGCGCCGCGTCAAGCAGGCCATCATGCAGGCTCATGACGCAGTGCTCGCCGCGCGTGTCAAGCAGACACGTGATGCCAATCGACGCCGCATCCGTGCGCCTTTTGCCGAGAACGATCTAGTATATGTCTCAACTGCCAACATGAACTTCCCGAAGGGCCGCGTTCGTAAGCTACTTCCCAAGTTCATTGGACCGTACCGCATCCTGAAGGATCTAGGCAATGAGGCCTTCCTTCTCGATCTCCCGAAGGAGTTGAAGCAGCGGGGAATACACCCGCGCTTCCACGCGTCTCTATTGAGAATTCATATTCCCAATGATGATCGGCTATTTCCGGGCCGCCTTGAGACTCAGGTGGCCGACTTCGGTGCCTGGGAGAAAGAATGGGCAATTGAGGAGATTGTGGGACATCACGGCAAGGGTGCTGATGCAGTACTCAAGGTGAAGTGGAAGCCGGGCGACATGTCCTGGATCCCAATCAAGAATGTCGCCACCCTCGAGAAGGTCAAGCAGTACCTCGAGGCGCTTGGCGTTGACAAAGCGGGTGATCTCCCGGCTGGATCTGAACCAGACCCCGGGGATGTCCAATTGTATGTAGGGAATCTCGAACTCACGATCGAGCCTCGTGTTCCCGATGGCGAGATTCACGACGAATCGGGTAATGGGCTTAGCTGGGATCCCTTTAAAAGGGATGGACAGTCAGTATGCCAACCCAACTCCATTCCCTCTTCCTCTCTCTACATACATACTATGGATCCTTCTACCTTACCTCCGCTTCCCGACTCTCCTTCCCCTTCGCCCAACGCCAACCGTGTCGGTACTCGTTCCCACACCAAAGCCAAAACGGCGCCGGCGATCAAAAATGGCAACAAGGCGGACTCGGTCCAACCGATGGATGTCGACCCACCCAGTTCCGAGGCCGCCCCGCCGGCAACCGCGCCCAAGACGATGTCGTCCGTCCTCGACGCCGCCGGCTCTGCCGCCTCCACCCTCATCGACAGCGAGCCGCCTGTCGACACCGCCGCCGCGCTCCGCGCAAAGGAGGCCGCCCGCGCCAAGTACAATGCCGGTATCATCGCCGACCGCATCCGCCAGCAGGAAGCCGCGCGCTCCGACGTCATGAAGCAACCCATCCCGCGCGTCAACGCCGCCGCCGACGCTGGTGCGGATAAGACCGCGCCTCCGTCCGCCGCCGCTGAGACGACGCCCGCCAAGCGCGCCTCCGAGGACGACGGCTTCCTCCTCGGCCGCGCCAAGCCACGCGGCCCGGCCCAATCCGCCCACCGCCGCATCGTTCCCATGACGTGGGAGATCCGCGGACGCCGCCTCGTCATCCCTATCTACGCGCGCGACGACCCTGAAGAATACCTCTTCAGTTACCGCATCCCACTCACCATCCTCGTCGAGTACATGCGCTTCAGCGACGGCATCACTGCCACTGGAATCCGCCACGACGTTGTTGAGGTCCCGTCCGGCTATGCCGAGTTCGTGGAGATCCTCCAGCGCGTCGACTTCGGCAAGCACATGTGTCCGATCGACCTCGCGACCGGCAAAGTCCGACCCATCCCCGACGAGCAGCGCATTGATCGGACCTTCTGGGTGCGTCAGATCCTCGACATCAGCAGCGGAGCGGCCGCGCATCGCTACATGGACGAGGTGGAGGGCAAGGTGCCCGAGCCCACCAACGAGGAGCTCCTCCTTCGTGAGGTGACGGCCATCGAGGCGATGCAGGGGCGCTTGTCGAACGCCCGCCGTCAGCAGGCCTTCGAGGCGAACCGTGCCAAGCGGCGCGAGGGCAAGGGGAACCAGTAGTTACTCACTACTTACTAGAGATCATCAGAACAACGGCTCGAAAGTTACTTACAGAAAAGGTTCGAAATATATACAAAAACAAAGACTCGTTTCTATTCTATACATACGTGCTACTTACTGGTTGCTACTGTACTTACAGAGCGCCTTAGAAGGCGCTGGAGGGGGGTATGTGACGCCTCGGCCTTAGCCGACGCCACGTGCTCTACCTTCACCTCTCGCGGGGGTATTTTCCTTTGGAGTTCCTTGAGGTTCTCCTGGTTTCTAATGACTCGTATATATACTCCGTGACTAGTTATGACTACTTACAGCTGTAGGTATAAAAGGGCCCTCCTCCAAGGGAGGAGGGCGAGGTTTTCAATCGAGACTTCGTTACAGAGTAACCTCGTGGGAATCTTCTTCATCATCTCCGTGAGCCGAGCCCGGCCCGCTCTCCGCGTCACCGTACTCGCCTCACGAGTCCATGCGATACCACGTGACAGCTGAAGTTCAGGTTCGCCATTTCTTGAATCCCCGATGTTTACCGGGTTCTCCGCGATCGTTGGAACTAGTATATAGCACAGAACTGAATGGTTACTGGACAGGCTGCTACATACCTGTACTACAGGTATGTGGTACTTGAGTGATATACTCGTCGGGATACCAAGCGAATATTATTCAGTCAACACCAAGACGAGGCCAGCGTCGAAAGATCGCAAGGGCCTCGTCATGCATCAGCTGTGGTATCTCTTCATTATCAGATACTTGCTCCTCCACATCTCCCTCTGTATCCGAGCTATGCACAGAGTCAGAATCGCTATACGACGAGGAGTCGGGATAGAACACGGAGTCATCGTCTTCGTCGCTGGATTCCTCATCGCTGTCGGTGGAGGCATCGTCGTCCTCGTCAGCATCTTCTCCGTCGTCGTCATTTCCGTCGTCGCATTCGGTCTCGTCTTCATCAATTTTGGCCTCCGCCTCATCGCTGTCGTCTTCGTCCATTGTGGAATGGGACAGGAGAGATTCCGAGCGTTTGCGAGTGATTGATGCGAACGGAACAGCGTCCTCTTCGTCAACGTTCGCGCCTTTACCGATGTTAACATCGTCGTCGGACCCTGCACCATCTTCAGCATCCTCATCGTACCCATTCCCATCCTCTTCATCTTCCCCATCCTCGTCTTCATCATCTTCATCCTCACTATCCTCATCCTCATCATCCTCATCCTCATCCCTCTCGCCCTCACTTTCACTCTCCTCATCAATCCTCCTATCCACATGCACGCGCTCCAAATCTCCCCGCCACACCCGGTTCGCGCTCTGCTTCACGCAGACGCCCGGATACTCCCACGCCGTGTACTCGCCCAGCGGCGGCGCTGCGCACGGCTTGAGGAGTCTTGGCAAGTCCCACATATGGAAGAGCCCGTGGTCAAGGGAGCGCATGCCGCGGAGGAAGGGGCAGTGTTCGGTGTTGACCTCTTGAAAGAGGGGGGTTTCGCTCAGGTTGGGCAGGCCGAGGAGATTGGTATCGCCGGCGTAGTTTTTGTCTAATTGGGGCTCCCAGAGATCGATCCACTGTAGGGCCGGGTGTGCCAGGGTGCCGAACATGTTGGGAGACAGCACGAGGTGTTCGAGGCGCGGAAAGAATTGGACGGCTTGGATGTCATCGTCGAGGAGGCGGCGACTTGAGCTATGTAGATGGAGGTATTTGACGTACTGTCCGTTCTGAAGGGCAAGCGCTTGCAGGGCCTGGGCGGTGTTGTTAAATCCGAAGCCGTTCAGAGTTAGGTTTTGGAGGCGCGGCATTCCCCACTTCGCAGCCACTCGCAATATCGAGTCGTAATCCGATATTAGGGTCAGCGTGAGCAGCGCGGGAAAGACGAGCCCGGATGGCGCATATTTATCGATTCCATGATCGGCGAGAGGCAGCTGAAGGGTTTCAAGGCAGTGACTTGAGGTGGCGAGAAGCTCCATCAAATTTTCCCAATACCACAAGTGTTCGCTCAGCCGAAGGTGAACGATACCCCTGACGAGCGACGGCGGGCAGAGCTGCAGAGGGAAGAAGTCGCAATGAGCCCCATCTCGCGAACACATCGAGAAACTATGCAATCGTCGACACAACAGCAAGATCGTCCGCATATCATCATTGTATATCTCCTCATGTTGATGCGGGACATAGCAGGCCATCGTAATCGACCGGACCAGCGACGCGAGGTCCATTCGGGCGTTGAGTAAAGTTTCCAGGAAGGCGGTGATCTGGCCGATACTGCGAAGGCCGACGTCGCGGTAGATAACTTGAGCGGCGGTCTGATGCCAGGAGCGGGAGACGAGGCTGAGGGCGCACTTGGTGGACATGGCGGTGAGCCAGGGAGTCTCGAGGGCAGTGTAAAGGGGGCTGGCGAGGAAGGGCGGCGCGACCGCGCGTTCGAAGATGAACAGCATGATTTCGGGTGGCAGGTCGGTGATGGTGCGAGGACGAGAAGGCGCGGACAGCAGCCGCGTAGCGTCGGGGAATTCGTAGAGGGACTGTCATAGTTGTTTAACGGCGTAATGACGATAGCAAACGCGCTCACCTTGTATCTTGCGGCCTCATTCTCGAGCGCCTGGCATTCTACCGTGAGCTGGGTGTTCTCGGAAAGAAGCTTGTAATGGTCTCGACCTTCCCGCAGGCGCTTGTGTCGTGCTTGAAGCTGAGCGTTCTCAGTCGAATGGCATTCAAAATCCGTCCCACATGCTTGGGCATGGTCTTCCTTGTCGGTGCTGTTCGTCGATGCGGGTTTGGGATCGCTACGGTCTGAATCGCCTGAAGCACCGGCTACTGCTGAGGCATAGCTCATGGATGGATCTTGTACACAGAAAATAGATGCAATGTCAGAAGGATAATCCCACGCCGAGGAGTCGGAGGACATTGAGTAAGTAAGATGATGATGATGGTCAAAAGCAAAGACCGCGATGCACGACACGCTCTGATCACGCCCTCGGAAGCCGGGCCGGTTGTATTGTCCGCCAAGAACAATGGAAATTGGTATTTGTGCATGCATTCTGGTTGATCGTAGTGACCTCACGCCTCCCTCACCTGCCGCTCACGATCACTGCGCGCCACGGCGCAAAGTGCGATGGCCAGCATACTCCCGTCGCGATGCCTGGCGTCCTCCCTCCACGCGTACAGCCCCTCGTCGCCAGCGTTGACCGCGCCCAGCCGCTACCATGTCATACGCAACTTCTTCCGGCGACAAGAATACGGCAGCGCGCCGCAGACGACCTCGACTCAAGCGGCGACTAGATGGCGGACGAGGGGACCATTGACAGCGTCGACTAGCACCCTCATGAGGGACTCGAGGATAAGGGAAGGACTAGTGTTGGGTTCTTGGCAGGCGCGTTGTGGACTTCATACAAGTGCGCCGCTCTTGAAGAAGAAGAAAAATCGGCAACGACAATCGGTCTTCGACAACGACGATACTTTCTTTACTGGACAGTCTGCTGCAGCCCATCGTACCGCACAAGCTGCCGTTGGTGGCGCAAACACGGGAAGGTCACACGAACAGTCGTCAGAAGAAGTACCGATACAAGACGCCGACCTGCGACAAGCCGAGGGACGATCGACGACAGCGCACTCTAATGTTCCTGCAGAACGACCTGAGCTCTTGCCTACAGAGCCGCAGAAGCAACCTACAGCGCTGCAAACCCCGCCGATCACCTCGTCATCCCCTTCATCACAGACAGCCACGTCTACACCCCCTGTGTCCCCTCCAGAGACCGACGTCGTCAATCTTCCACCTCCTTCCTTCTCACAAGCGGCTCACGATCAAGTCGAAGCGCCCAAGACCCCTTTGCTGGACAGTCCAGATGCCCATCCGTCCCTCCCGCCACCCTCGCATCCAGACCAACCCTCTGCTGATGGCAACATACCTCCCGCCGGACCGCCGCCCAACTGGGACAACTACCCGCGCTGGGTGCAGCGCACCATGGCGTCCATGCCGCACATCACGCGTCCGACGCGCGAGGCCATGTTGAACGCGGCGAGTGGATTCTGGGAGCGGCTGCGCATACATTGGCGTTGGATGGCCCTGCGGTCTTTCCGGAAGTTTAATGCGGACGACTTTTCGGCGTTCCTTACATGGTTCGTGATGAGCCAGACGATCTGGATCCTGGTTGGAACGTCAGTAGCAAATGCATCGTGCTATATCGCTGTCATGTACTTACGGACTATCACAGAACGTCTTTCCTATCCGCCGTATTCTGGTTAGCCAACAGCTTGAGCTTACAACGTGAGCACTTACCTTCCGAGCGCGAGCCATATTGCTTAACGAAGCCTGCCAGACTACATCGCAAAGGCCCTCAGCGACTACCTCACCCGCGGCACCGACATCATGATCGTCTTCGAGTCTGCCATTGTTCCCAAATGGCGCGACTCCAAGCTGTGCTTCAAGAACGTCTACATCTCCCGCGGCCCGCACACCACGGAGCAGGAGAAGAAGAGGCAAGACGAGAAGAGGGCACAGAGCGATGGCGAGGAAGGCGAACCTGGCCACCCACCGCAGATGGCGGGCAAGGTCCCGGAGCAGCTGCTGGAGGAGTACAACTACACAATGTTCGACCTCAACGTGGACTCGGTGGATGTGACATTGTCGTTGTGGCGCTGGCTGGATGGCAAAGGGCTGGTGAAGGATGCCGTAGTGAAAGGCGTGCGTGGAGCTATCGGTATGTTTGCTTTCCCCATTACCCTCAGTCCCTCTCCCTTTGCTTAGTTCGCCCTCCCAGACCGCCGCTCCATCCACTGGGACCCCGAGAACCCCCTCAACCCGGCCGACTTCCGGCACAAGTCTCAACCCGGCGACTTCGAGCTCGAGTCGCTGCAAATGGAGGATGTCCTCGTCACCGTGTACCAGCCCGATGCCTTCCGGCCATACACCGCGTCGATCTTCCGTGCGGACTTCCCCATATTCCGCAAGCAGTGGCTCTTCTACGACTTCTTGTCCGCGGACAGTATCGTGGGGCAGTTTGATAACTGCCTCTTCAGTCTGCATAAGCCGCAGAGTATCGGGCGGACGAACGAGGCGGACACGAGGGACAGCGACTGGGCGAGGATGGTGAGCTGGGATTGCGCGTCTGAAAAAGGTCGAATACTGACTGCTTTTCGTCAGTCCCGCGTCCGCATCGACGGCGTCAACATCGACCACCTCCAGCGCTCTACCTCCTCCGACGGCCCCTTCTCCTGGATCACCTCCGGCAAAGTCGACGCCGTCCTCGACATCAAGTTCCCCCACGACCCCGAGGACGAGCTCCCGTTCCAACTCATCCTCGGCGAGCTCGCCGACGCCATCTCCGAGCACATCCCCGGGCAGCAGCAGCACATCCCGGGCCAGCGCGAGCTCGCGAAGCCCCCGCTGTCTGCACCGGATTCGGACGGGATCGAGCGCGCGGAGCCATGCGTGGTGATTGATATTGATTTGCGGTTTAGGGATGTGAAGGCGAGCGTGCCGATCTTCACGAATGACATTTCCGTGGCGAACAATGCGCTCATTCGGCCAATTGTGGCGTTTATGAAGTGAGTTGGGTACTATATGTGGAAGGGGCAGGTACTGACTGGATCTGCAGCGCGAACCACACTTTGGTACCGATTCGGGCGCGGGTGGTGAAGGACTTGAGCGAGTTCGATGGGGCTTGGACAGTAAGTTGATATCCTTTCTCGTGTGTTCGGCATACTCATGTGTCTTGCAGATGTGGGAGAGTGCGTAGCACTTATGCGCTATACCCTACACATACTAACCTCTTTCCTAGCTGGTCTCATGGACGATATCTCTGATAAGGTGCGGTCTCCCTCCAGTTCTCAGTCACCCGTTCACCGACCGACTGATCCCTTCTCCTTCAGATCTACAACGCCCTCGCCTACCACGTCACCCAGGCCAACATGAACAAGCGCCTGAAGACCGTCGGCCTCTGGAGCGTGCAGATGACCGCGAGCGCGGTACTCTCCGCGCTGCGCCGTGCGCTCGATCCCATCTCGCTCCACCTGCGCGAGACGTACACGATACCGCTGCAGAACGCTCACGCTATGTACGAGTTGCTCATGTTTATGCCACAGATATGAGAGTGTTGATGTGTATATTCTTGACAGGGAAGCGCGGGCGGCATGAGGGATTTGACACTTGCGAAGGCTAGTGCACGCGCAGGATCTGGTACACACGATGGCCCCTGCTACAACGGGTAACCGGACCTGCGGTCGAAATGGTTTGTGAATTATGTTCGTCTTGCTTGCTGTCGGAAAACAATGGACTAGCTGTATGTATCGGATGTTATGCCATCTACCTCACGACTTGAATGATATATAGCCTCTGGGCATCTCTCCTTTCATCGTCTGCAGCCTGTTCTGAGGAAGCGAGGCTCGTGTCAGACTTACGCGGCCGTCCAATTGCACCGTGAAGAATCATCAATTCCATGCCTATGCCAGACGAGCTTATATATGATATTGCAACGATACAACAACAGTCCACATGTCCTCACATGCCTACATGAGAAAGGGATATGGGCCCACGCCACGATGTACAATGGTACAACAGCTGAACGAATAAGGAGAGACGCAAAGCGAGAAAAACGCCGAGCTAAGCTGGTAAACCTACAGATTTGGAAGGGCACCTATACGAGCGACATGGTCTTCTTTTCTCGCGACGTGACGGGGTCCAGCTCGCACTGCTCGACCTCAGGGCTCGAGGGCTCCCTGACTTTATCCTCGTAAGGCGCCGTCTTCCGCAGCCTCTGGCACAAGCGCATACGGAGGATGATGAGACCGCGGACAATGGAGAAGATGATGACCTCGCCGACCGCGATGCCGACGATGTAGGCGGCGAGGTAGGGGCCTTGCTTGACAGGGTCGAGGAAGGAGTAGGCTGTGTGAAGAGTGAGTCAACAAGTCGAGACAACTCGACGAGCGATGGGCACGTACTATAGAACCCTTGAGTGCCGTACGTGATGTACGCAACCCCAAGATAGCCGGCCAAAAATACGATGTTGCATGGAAGCGCCATCCAGGGCATGAGCGGAATATTCGTGAGGAAAACCTCAAGAATAGCGAAGATGAGGTTCATTGCATGAACGGAGATGTTCCCCCAGGCTAAATGCGAAGGCCCATCAGCATAGTAAATCAAGAGCGAAAGTCAACTCACCTGAGTAGGTCGTGCTCATCGTATCGGGCGAGGAGAGAAGACCCCAGAATACGGCAGTTACAATGATGGCTGGAATGATACATTAGCATACGTCGAAAATGTGCACGCGCACGAGAACGTACGAAAGGTGGCGATGGTGGCGAATAAGAGTACATGAAGGGCCTGGAGAAACTTGGGCCAGTATTGCAAAGGGTATGATGTTTGTCCAGATCTTGCATAGAAGAGCGTTTGCACGCCAGCAGCGAAGAAATAGCTGCAGAGGCCGATGTACGAGAGGTGCGTGAAGTACGAGAAATATCTGCGCGCCACCTTCGTCAGTACGTGCATTCCACGCGTCTCATGACCACTCACGAATCCAAGTCCTCCGGGAAGTGTGTTCCGTCCCATGCAAGCTCGAAGATCAGAGTGACGAGCGCGTAGAACCCCAGGAGCAGACGGATTGAGGCAAGTACAACAGGGGAGAAGAGCGGGGACGTGACATAGCCATGAGCGGGGTCGAAGACGAGCTCCTCGACGCCCAAGAATCGGTGAATGGCGACCATCGTGCTCCCCCAGCCGTCGTTGGTCTTGAGGTGGTGGCGGAAAAGAGCAAAAGGGCCTTGCTGTCGCAGTAGCACCACCCACGTCGATCGGCGGGCGGCGGACCTTCCGACGTCCCGGCGCCCGTCAGCTGGACTATCCGCGCTCCGGGTCCGCGGACATCAGAAGTCTGCGGTTTATCTGCGGTCCTGGCCACGCAGCGAAGGGCGAGAATGGCGAGAGGGCAGCGCATGGAATTAGGAACCTGCCGTATGGCAGGGTGCCCGCATTGATCATGGTCAAGATCAACCCATGATCAGCTCGATCGACGTCCTTCGGGGTATTCGCTGAATGGCTACACATTGCATTGTCCTGTGATAAGAATACAGAGCGGGTACAAAGAACAGCGGAGAAAGCGAAGGACAGAACAGAACAGAAGAGCGAATAAACATGAAGCATCGACTTGGAAACGAGAAGGGAATAAAGATCGAAACGTCCGAAAGCACACACCAAGGTTCCAGAAGCAACATCAAGCGGTCGTCGGTACCGGCATGGGAGGAGGCATGCCTCCTGGCATAGCCTGCGGAGTGTGAGCACCAACACTCTGGGGACCTGCAGTCCCCGCGGGCGAACCAGCGGGCGGAGCCGCCAGCGGCATCTGCGCGTACACTGGTGTCATCAAGCTCACACTCATCGCACCCTGGGACCCGCCCGTCGACTGCAGCACGTACAACGGTGTCGGCGGCGTTGGCTGATACACACCAGACGGCGAGGGTTGGAACATTCCCGGGGCAGCAGGCGGCGCGTAGCCACCTGGGTAACGCGGGTCTGTCGCTCGCCGTCGATGGTGACGATACTCATCTCGGTGACCTCCCGAACGACGATGCGTGGTGGACGACGTCCGAGTCGAGTGACTCTTGGGCGAACCATGCGGGGCAGGGTACCCGTAAGGGTATGGATAGGCGAAGACGCCAGGCGGTAGTGGCGGGACATCCGGAATCTCACTTGGGCTGCGATGCCTGCGCCGATGATTGGGAGCAGTACGAGGCCGAGGCCGCGAAGACCTGTAGTTTCCCCGGTCCCCGTGCGGCGAAGACGGACTGGACAAACCCGCAGACGTCTCCGACAACCGACTCGGCGACCGTGAGCTCAGCAGGTCAATCGTCGTCCGCGTCCGCGTGCTCATTCCGCTCATCCTCCTCGCTGTCGTCGCATTCGCGGTCGCCTTCGTCTGTCGGTACCACGACTGCAGTTTCTTCTTTGGTGGCGGCGGGCGGTAGCTACCAACAATGTTCTCGGCGACCCAAGGCATCGTGTTTACGGCGCGGAAGAAGCGCGTAATCGGGTTGCCCAGTTGTGAGGAGAAAGAGGGCTCGGTAGTCGAGAGGCTGAGCGGCTGACCAGGACGCACAGGGCTTCCCATCTTGGAGTAGTCGGGAGCGGGGCGTAAATGTGCCTGCACGGCACGGTGCGAATCATCAGGAGGGCTGCCTGGGTCTGCTGGTGGTCCAGTAGTATGCGTTGTGTTCGGATCGGACTCAGGAGGATGCGCGAACACCAAGCCCGAGTCGGGTCGCGTGCCCGAGTCCGGGCGGCCAGAGGTCGGCCGCGAGGGAGGTGGCCTGTACGTTGAGCTTGAACCATGGCCGCTAGACCGCTTGGGCGACAGTGGTCGGATAGGCGATACCGTCACACCCCCGCCCATCGGTGATGTCGAAGGCCCCGCCACCCCCGGCCTCAAGCTCGGCGGGATATCGTCCACACTGTAGCGCATGATCGTCGCATCTCCGTCCGGAGGCGGCGTCGGTGCGCGACTCAGCGCGGCTGGCACGCGGATCTCCGGGATGCTCTGCATCTGCCCGTGCCGTCCCGCAAGCCGCGCGCCCGCCCCGAGGCCTGCAATGTTCGTGTCCGGCGTGGACGGGTTGCTTGTGTAGCGCGGAAGCGTGCTCACGCTACCCATCGTGTTCGTCGTCCCGCTACGCTGCCGGGTGACGGACTTCTCGCTGGGCCGCGGCTTCAGGGCCTTAGGTAGGCGACGAATGAACCCACCGACGAACCCGCCGCTGCGTTTCTTGGTGGGCGAGTCGGAGGGTTGGAGGGGGCTGCCGTTGGGGGGTAGCGATGCGGCAGGTGGAGGTGGGTCGAAGTGAGAGGGGTCGTGAGGTACGGGATCGTTGACACCGCGTGCGTTCGGGTGAGGCGAAGGGATTGGAAGGGGCCGAGGTGGTGAGATCTGCCTCTCGACTGCGAAGGGCCGCACGGGCTCTGGCATCGGGATATTCAACCAAGACCCCGACTCGGTGTCCGCGAACGAGGGAAAGGGCTTGAAGGACGGCGGTGGATGCGGTCTCGAGCCCTCTACGCGAAGTGGTTCGATAGGAGGCAGGTTGACCCAGGAGCTGCTGGAGCTCGTCCTCGAGCGGTGAACTTGGGAGGAGGATGGGCTGATGGGGTACGAAGATGGTCCAGCTCTGCTCGTACGTCCACTTGCAAGGCCTTCTCCGCTCGTCAAGCGTCCTCCAGTACTCGTCGGTTCCCCGAAGCTCGTCAGGCGACCCCTCCCGCTACTACTCTGCGCCCCTGCGCTGCTCCTCCGGTCCCCGCTTCTTCGCTCGCTGCTGCTGAACGAGTTGTCCGGGGCATACGCCGGCGTGTCGTCCATCGCGATACTGTCGTTAGATCTATGTGTGCAGCCCGATCCCAGCGACGCTGCGGTGTGGAGAGGTGGTCGTCAGAGTAAAGTGTGTCATTCGCGAGGTTTCCGACCGGTAGAAGGGCGAGAGATAGACCAGAATAGGCATCGCAGCTGAGAAGCTCGAACAGCCTCGAAGACAATGACACGCATGCGCCGGGAAGCGCGTCATGCGATCAAGCTAGGCCACGAGCCGCTAGTCATCCCATAGGTACAATCGTACGATGAGAAGGTCAAAGGTCATGGTTTCTCTGAGCAATGTCGGGGAAGACGACGAAGACGGACATCAAGACATGTCCAGAAGCAACGCGTGGGAATCTCGTGGCGCACCTACAGAGACCTACAGTCGCTTTACCATCACTCATTCTCGATTCTCGTATTGAACCCTCGTAAAGTCGCTTTTGAGACAGAATATTATGCTACATCGCGCCTCAGTACTCGGACGTGTCACAGGACGGCATGGGGGGCCTCTTATCGAAATGCTTTGATTTGCGAACCTACTCTACGCGCGCTCGAAGGCCCACGGTGTATAATAGTTTTTCGCCACACCATTTCCATCGTATCTTCCCTCTCATGGGTCCACAACTCGGATTCCTCATCAGATTTGTCAGCTGCCGACCATGACATTTGCTTGCGTGGTGAAGTCGAGCCCATCTGGACGCACGAAGAAGTTTTGGCGGCCTTCCGAAATAGATTGCTGTAGCGCAAGAAAATATAGTCGGTAGTGATATTAAGGCCTGATGCAGTCGTATTAAATTGAGAAATACTGATATTCAGTTTCACAGAGATAGGAAGGAATCGTGGTAGAGGGTAGGCCAGCTACGCTCTGAGCTTACCAGTACCCGTAGTTTGGCAATATGTAGATCACGTGCTAAGTTGATATCCGCGGAGCCGACGCTGAATGATCTGGTCAATTGATGCATGCACGCGACGTTGCCTTTGTCCCTCACTCGCCCGAACGGCTCTGAAAGGCTCGCAAAATCGAGCTGTGCGCGAGACATCCACTGGGTCCGAGAAGACGCTTCACCCGCTACGCTCGTTGAACTTCGCCATGGAATTCCTGACTCGCGCGCTAGAGATGGAGTCCAGCTCATGGCAAGAAGAGCGCGAGGGGCTGATTACAGAAAATAGGCAACTTGTGAAGCAAAATCAGCGACTTTCAGACAAGCTGGAGTCATATAGGTCTTTTCTGACGGATGCGCAACTGAAGCAGGCACATAACGGGGAACTCGAGATTTCGTTCAAGGTAGGCCTATACTTGTGCGCGAGAGCTAGCTGTTCACATGCAGTCCAACAGCCTCTTCGCCGCGGACCGATCACCAAACTTCCACCAGAACTTCTTCTTGCCATCTTCCAGTGGGCTGTGCCGCCTTCGTTCTTGACCACCCCGCTTTACAAGGCTCGTGATGACGCATGGATTCGATCTATGAGTACCAAGCGCGCCCTCAGCCTCGTCTGCCGCTCGTGGCACATAACCGCTGCCGAGATTCTGTACGAGAACATCGGCTTGCGCAGCGTCGGCCAGATAGCCGCCTTTCTGGATACACTCACGAAAAGTGTCTATGCCTACATGGTCAGGTCGATAACCATATCCTGCTACGTCGCTCCGCACCACGCTGCCTTCTACAATGAGGACCTTCAGGCGATTCTTGCGCTGTGCTCGCGATTGCATACGTTCTCGATACGCGTGCATCAACATGATATGCCCATCAACCATCACATTCCTCTGCAGCTCCTGCCTGTACATCATATCCATCGCATCGTCAACCTCAACCTCAGCTGCGGTTCTGGCTTCGACCTGCCAGAGATAGTCCTCATACTGGAAAGGACTTGTGGCCATCTTCAATCGCTTCATTTTGGCCTGTCTGCGAGCGGTGGCAACGCTATCCGGCTGCCGCAACTCATCTTCACCACGCTCACGACACTCAGTATCATGTCTTCCCTACCCAACTTCTGGAGCGCGATGACCAACAGCTGGGCGATGCCACATCTGCGCAACCTGACAGCAGATTTCTCACAGAGGGTTGGCGCTCTCGGCGAGACAGGATTTCAGACCTTCTTGATAAAAAACTGCGCTGACATCGAATACTTGTGCATCCATGTGTCAATCTTCGAGATGCACATCCCGCTGCCGGGTCTACGGGAATCTCTGCAGTACTGTGCTCGCCTGCAGCATCTCGTGCTGCCCAGATGTACAGATGCGCACATACGCTACCCTCATCCTTCAGTGCGCTGGATAGACATGTCTGAACAACCTGGGCTCTATGACGATCTCGCAGCGTACCTCCAGCATCTCAGGAGTGGCGCCTTCAACACAGCTTTCCCGTCCCTACTTGGTGCCCGCGAGCTTGACTTCGGCCTCAGCGATATGCACGACATATCCCTTTTTCTACGTCCGGACTCGCAGCTGCAGGATGGGCAAGTAGTGTCATTTGAGTACGCGGGCGTCAGCATCAAGCAGAGCGCTAGCTATGTGTGGCGCGCAGACCTCGACTACGTGCACGTTGACCAAAGCCCTGACGTCATATCGGACGATGAGGACGAGGAAGATGACGGTCACGAGGACGAGGATGAGAATGAGGAAGAGGATGAGGAGGGAGAGGCAGAGGAGGACGAGGATGAGGAAGACGAGGAAGACGAGGAAGACGGTGAAGAGGAGGAAGAGGAAGAAGTTTCCCAAGAGGAGGAAGAAGAAGCCACAGAGGAGGTGGAAGACGAAGGACATGCCGACATGGAGGCAGACGAAGACGAGCCTGAGGATTCCGTCGACGCGACGGAGGAGACGGAAGACAGCGGTAGCGGGGAGGTGACCGATGAAGCATCCACCAAGTCAGAGTCAACTTTGCTTTTGTCTGTCCCTTCAGGCAGCGCAGAGCGCAGGTGCGTCAACTGCGGGAAGTTGGCAGATAAGAAGGAGGCGGACTTGGGCGAGGAAGTCGTGGGGGATGATGACGATGATGACCAGTATAGTCCAACATCCAGCATCGACGGGATGTCTTCGGTGCATAGCTCGGATGGGAGCGATGAGGCCGCGTCGGATCCTGGGCTGGACGAGGAAGAGGAGTTGCCACACTGGACTCATGACGATGTGCTGCGAGCTTTTAGGAGGGGGTCATGAAGCATGTACACGACTTCTTAGAATTGAGGTGATACTTCGTGCTACGTATCTGCTCCCAGGCTCGAGACAGAAATTAGGTGGTTTGTTGGCAGGTAGCATAGGTATATAAGGAGATACATTTGGATGATGCCTGAGCGGAAGAAACCCGGGCAGAAGAGGAAAGTGAACCCGTTCAAAGTGTTGCAGAGACGATCTCAATGGACCGAACCTGTCGCGCGAGTCGAAGACGGTAACTGAGGTCCCTTATTTACGATGTAGGAGAACCTAGAAACACACTGTGATCAGGACGAGGACGTGCGGGAATTGGTTCCTACTCACTTCGCTACATCCTGCAGAAGTAAACATTTGAGGCATGTGTTGCCACATTCACAAGCGCCCTCGCCGTCATAGAAGACAGTCTGCGCAGGAGGTATGCTGACGAACATCGGACGCGACGCTTGTGGCGTAGAAGCCGGTGGCGCATCATTCGTCGACACCGAAGGCTGCGCGGCAGGAACCGTCGAGGGGGGCTGCGGGCCTTGGATGGCGCCTCCCGCAGATACAAACGCGAGAGGTCGATCCCAAAGCGGCTGTCGAGGCGGACTCGCCGCCTTGTTCTTTTGTGTGGTGTTGTCTGACTTCTTCGCGTGGAGTTGGGGCGGCACAAAAGAGGTGCTCGCCAATGCATCGTCCTCTTTTTCAAGGAGGCTCGAGGTGCGGCGGGTGTTGAAGGTGATCTTGATTGGCTTTCTCTTGAAAAGAGACCCAACAGGCGTCGGCGCCTGCGAGGTAGAAGGTTGCCTTGCATGCGATCGTTAGCTGAAAGGACGATGAACACAGTACAGACAAGGAAACACACCCATTATTCCCGTTGATCTGGGAGATACCCATACCCGAAGTGCTTTGGTACATGGAAAAAGAAGAAACAGCGGCCATGGCAGTCTGCAAAGGTCGTTTCCAAGTGGAAAAAGTCTTTTGGCGCCGGGTGCTGTCTGATTGGTGACGGGGGTCAGCATGCTCTACTTCGCGTCAAAGAGATGTTTCTTACTCGATGAGGGTAGATGACTCGAAGGATATGGAGCAATCCTTGGCGAGGAGGAGGCAGGGTCTGTTAGCGTTTGTGGCAAGACGACGCGCTCGACCTGGCCATAATGAGCCTCCGGCCGGCCGGCCGATCATTACACGGTCACCTGACCGCGTTTGCCGGTCGCGCACCGTCCAGAAGTCCCACGACCTTCCTTTCTTGACCGCCATCATCTCCGGGTTCACACAGTCCGTAACTGCGTACCTGTAGCCCCTCAATCGCACGTTGAGGCCATCTTCGTCTATGCTGAGCCCATTGCACTCATTTCGCGAGACCCTCGTGGCCAGACTATGCGAAACGATGCCTAGCACATGGTCCCTCTGCTACTGCATGATGACCAGGAGAACATGCAAGACTGCCTCTCCGGCGACAGACCATAACAAGCCATGTCTAGGTGCTCATTTTTGCTGGCTCTCTCGTCAGTCCAACGCTCGAATGGGTCCGCGGGCTGCTCAAGGCAGCGACAGTCTCGCATGCTGGATCAACGGCCGCCACATTCTTATCTCTGTCGTCTTAATTTACCTCTCTGGAGTGACGGACCAGAGACCACTCGTGCAGCACCATCCAGAGCACGATGCACGCCATGCAGCCCTCCTAAAGATGTGATATCTGCCTGCCTGCCATGCTCCCGAAGTCGACATCACGGTAATTTCGTGCCGTAGGGCGACATTGCGCTACCAGAATCTTGTGGTGAGTTCCCCTCCGGCTACGCTCAAGGGGCGCTGCACGACATTCCGCTCATCAGTGCATAGTTTAGAAGACCCATGACGAGGGAGGCCATATGCCATTGCGCGATAGCTGCAGGGTATAAAGACCCCTAGGCCTTCAACAGTTCCTCGTCGCCAACCGTCGCAACCTCCCCTCCTACCATCCCCTTCAGCCTCAGACCAGCATGCGTCTTAGCCCCGCCTTCGGTCCCCTACTCCTGGCCGTGGTGGTCGCGACGAAGCCCATCCTCGTCGACCGCTCGCCGATCTCGTTCGAGCTGACGCGGAAGCTGAACGTGACGAGCGGCCACAACCTGGTGCAGGCGGGCAAGCAGCGCGTGCAGAAGCTCAAGGCCCTGGCTCTCAAGAAGGAGGGTCAGGCCGTCGATGAGGGCCTCATTGACGAGCCTGTCACCAACGAGGCGGTCATCTACAGCGCGGATGTTGGTGTTGGCGCGGATGCGACGAAGTGTACGTGAATTGTGTATGTAACGAAGACGCTGAATGCTGACTGCAATACAGACAGCCTCATTGTCGACACTGGTAGCTCGAACACCTGGGTCGGTGCCGACAAGAAATACTCCAAGTCTTCGACGTCCAAGGACACTGGATCCGGTGTTTCCGTCAGCTATGGATCGGGTTACTTCTCCGGCGAGGAGTACACCGACAAGGTCACCATCACCAGCGACCTTGTCATCGACTCGCAGTCCATCGGTGTCGCCGATACCTCGTCTGGCTTCACCGGCTATGATGGCATTCTCGGCATCGGGCCCACTAGCCTAACGCAGGGTGAGCAGTAGTCTGATGCATAACTAGGAACGTGTTCGCTGACCAGCTGCAATAGGCACCCTCGAGAACTCCAACGACGAGATCCCGACCGTCGTCGACTCCGCCTTCAAGCAGGGGCTCATCGACGACCAGGTCATCAGCGTCTACTTCCAGCCCACCACTAAGGAGGAGGACCAGAATGGAGAGCTCATCTGGGGCGGTGTCGATGACTCCAAGCACACCGGTGACATCAAGTACACGTACGTCTTCTCCTCCTCCTCCCCTCTCTTCTGCCCATCTAATGTTCTTATACAGCCCCGTGACCAAGACTTCCCCGGCCTCCAACTACTGGGGCATCGACCAGTCGATCAAGTACGGCGACACCGTTATTCTTAAGAAGAACGCTGGCATCACCGACACCGGTACGACCCTCCTATACCTCGCGAGCGACGCCTACAAGGCGTACGCGAAGGCGACCGGCGCGAAGGTCGACAACAGTGTCGGTCTGCTCAGCATCACGAAGGACCAGTTCTCGAAGCTCAAGAGCCTGTTCTTCAACATCGGTGATGTGGGTAGCCCTTCCATTCTCGCTAGGGTAGCCTGCTAACCCGTTTCACAGGACACCTACGAGTTCACCGCGAACGCACAGATCTGGCCGCGCGCTCTGAACAGCGTTATCGGCGGCAGCGACGACGCGATCTATCTTGTCGTCGCCGACATTGGCACCCCGTCCGGCCAGGGCCTCGACTTCATCAACGGCTACGCGTTCCTCGAGCGCTTCTATACCGTGTACGACAGCGGCAAGGGCCAGATTGGCTTCGCCACCACGGAGTACACCGACGCAGAGACGAACTAAGCGGAATACCCCGGTGAATAGACTGCTGTGTAGAGGATTGTGACAGAACGATGTTGTAGACAAGTCCAAGTTCCGTGTAGATTCAGTGTCAGGATGAGAATCATTTGTCGTGTATCTGTCCGCTCCGAGGAAGTAAATCCATCGATATGAACGTAACCTCGGGCTCCACTGCATAACAACTCCTGCAAACACCGTACGATGCATGTGGACTCGGTCACGCAGAGGACGAAAAGACAAAAAGCAGCGGGGCTATATCCCCTTTTGGATACAAAAGAATTACCTCTTACGTCCGTCGTGAGGTGGCGGAGGAATGGAGTCCACACAGCGCGGACACAAGGCACGGTACATTGCGTCTGAAACGGGAGGATCTGACAAAGTGCAGGCAAACGCGACGGGTATGCACTCCAGAGCTGTATCTTGTCACGGTCCGCCTGGCTTGTCGGCTTTCCCAAATTTTCTAAGTAGGATTCAAGTGTACACGTCTTCCACTTCGGTTAGTAGATAAATACATGGGCACATCACGGCCTTCACACTGCCGTTAAGCACCGAGGGCACCGGCGGAGTGTGATGAGCGGGACGAACAATGGATGTCACTCCATGTCACGCGTGACAGACAATTGGGTGTGACGGTTCCCATTTCAGCAGACAATGACCATCGTGGCCGGTGCGTACGTTATAAAGGTCTTTGGTAAAAATGAAGGGCGTGCTTCTTTTCGTCCCTCTTTTCTGTTTACGACGAACGCGTCGCCGGTCGACCCGCCATGTCTGAATATCCACGCTGGATGTCGCCCCCGCCGACTTACGATGCCACGACCGTGACGACCGCGAACGCCCTGAAGCCCTACCTCGAGCTCCCCCACCTCCTCTCGCTCACATGGCTCGCGTACCCCATCCTTTCCCTTCTTTTCGTTGCCTTCCGGCTTGCCATATCCTCCTCGTCTATGCAGGACTCGGTTGACAGTGCGAAGGCCAACATGATCGCCAGCTGCAAGGCCGCGCAGAACGCTGCCACGTCGTCGGCCAGCCTCCCCCGCTACATGGCCATGGGCAGCAACGAGCTGTTCGCGGACTCGGTCAATGCCACCATGAACGCCGCTCGTGCCACTATGGTCCTCGCGCTGACGATCATGGAGGCGATCATCAACTTCATAATTGATATCTACCGTTCCACGTTGCTCTGCTTCGTCGAGCTCATCATCCGTGGCGGTATATCGCTGCTTATAAGTGCGGCAGATGAGGTGCGTTGTTGCGCCGGGCATGAATCGGACCGTGGCTAACATTACCTTTCTGTATAGGTCAAGGAGTTCGTTGAAAACATCGCAGACGGCATTGCCGACACCATCCAGAGTGCTATCAACGGTGCCAACTCGGCCTTCCAGACTGCCATCGACGGTATCAATGCTATCAATCCCTTCGACGACATCTCTGCCCCACAAATCGACATGCCGGACCTTTCCTCCCTCACGAACCTCAACCTCCCCACCACGTTCCAGGACGCACTCACGAGCCTGAACAACACAGTGCCAACGTTTGACGAGATCAAGGACGCCATCGAGGAAGTGTACGTACAAGCACAGCTTTTGCAGACATCGTGTACTGACAAGTGTGCAGAATTAACACACCGTTCGAGCTCCTCAAGGCGGACATCAACGACACGTTCGCTGGGTTGCACTTCAACTCGTCGCTGATGAAGCTGCCGGAGACCAACACCGTCCGCTTCTGCGACGACCTCGACACGTCTGTCGTCGACGATTTGGGGCAGGACATCATCAAGGCCACCAAAATTGGCATTGTCATCATCATTGTCATTGCCCTCTGCCTTGTTGGCCTGAACTGCTTCCTCGTCTGGTACAAGTGGCGCAGCCAGATTCAGCATCTCGACTCCACTCGCCAGGCGTGGATCTCCGATCCCGTCCTATACCAGTCGAAGCCCGCGACTGGCAGCAGTGGCGCCCCGAACGTCGAGCTTACGGACCACAACATGCTCATGCTGCAAGCGGCAGGGCAGCATCCGATCTTGACGCGCATGGCAAACAACACAGCGCGCCGGCTTCGCCTGGGTCCGACCAAGACGACGAACCTGACGTGGTTCCTGCACTACATCTTCCACGCGCCCGCGCTCGCCTGCTTCCTGATCGGCTTCGTCGGCCTGCTGTCCGTCCAGATCCAGCTCATCGCGCTCGACCCGCTCGTCGACCAGTACAACGAGCGCGCGGCGGCCTCCGCGGACACGCTCTCCAACAACATCGCGACGCAGATCAACGGGAGCATGTACAACCAGTCCGCGCAGTATGCTGCAGACGTGAACGCACAGATCGCGGAGATGCAGCAGCATATCGACGGCGGGGTCTTCGGCTGGCTGAACACCACGACCGTCACGCTGAACGATACACTCGTCAAGTTCTACGACACCGTCGAGGACGCGATCGAGGGCGTCTTCAACAACACGCCGCTCGAGCAGCCAGTGCAGGAGTTCGTGTTTTGTCTGCTCGGTAGCAAGATCGTTGCTATCGAGAACGCGCTCACGTTCTTGCACGACAACATCCAGGTCGAGCTGCCCACGCTGAACGAGACCGTCCTCGTCCTCAGTCCCGACGGCGTCAAGGAGGTCTCGCGCCCTATCTCTGCCGCCGCGCTTGGCGGTGGCGATGGCGGCGACGGCGAGGATGACAACGGCATCGTCGACAAGCTTGTCCGTGCGTACACTGAGTCCCTCAAGAAGGAGCGCATCATGTTCGCTATCTTCGTTGGGCTCTGGGGTGTTGTCGTCCTGATGGGGCTCATCATCATCTGGTGGCACTCGTATGGCAAGGCGATGTGGGCGAATCGCAAGAACCATCGCGCTCGTTCGCCGCCTGACGAGGGTCCTTCCGGCGGTAACGCGTGGTTCTGGACTGCGTGGTTCGCCCGCGCGAGGGACGCTCGCGAGCGCAAGCGATGGGAGTGCGAACAGAGGGCGGGCATCAACGGCTTGGTCGTGCCTTTCCGCGAGGGTCCTTCTGCGGATGCGCCTGCCTCACAGCAGCAGCAACACCAGAACTTGACCGTTGCGCACGACTTGCCATCCTTCACCCCACTGCCATCTCCCCGACCTTCGCCTTGGACTCCTTGGTCTCTCGGGCGTTCATCGAGGTCGGAGAAGGAAAGGGGAGCCGCACCCTCCGAAGTGGGCGAGAAGGAGAAGCCTGAGTCTAGCGCTTTGAAGCTGCAGGCGGTGCCGACGAGGAATCAGGACGACGATGACGACTCCGAGGAGAGTGTTAGCAAGCCTGGCATCTTCGCTCGCCTCTTTGGGCGAGGGCGTACGCAGTCGGACGAGTCTCCTTCGCCTACTCGTGGCAAGCCCAACCTTCGCATCTCGGTTGGCCGTGCCATGGCAGGGACGACGCGTCCTGTCGCGGAGGTCGAGCAGATGCCCGCGGTAACGGAGCAGGACGCCTCCCCCGAGGAGCGCTCGCGGTGGTCGGTTTCGCCTACAACCACCCGTAGGCAGACACCATGGGTGAACATTATCAGCCCGACGACGCGCGCCTCGACCCTCCACTCCCGCAGCTCTAGCGAAGAAAGCACGCAGACGCAGAGTCGCTTGCCGCCGCCGATGCACCCTGCTCGCGGAGCCATTGCCCGCACCTTCCCCCGTCTGTCTTCGATGAGGGCTGCTGCAAAGGAGGGTGAGGCACTCGCGCCGCATCCTACGAAGAACCCTCGGGTCTCGGTGCCGGCGGACGTCAACGAGGACTTTTACACGGCAGATTCGCTGGAAAGGCCGCTTGATATGGGCTCTCACCATCGTCCGGCGCCGTTCCCTGCACCTCTGCACCATGGTTTCGAGCAGCCTCAGCAGCAGCAGTACTTGACTGTTGACCGTGCGCGTCCACCAAGACCTGCTGGTCCTCCTCCTTCCAGGTCCATCAGCAGCAGCAACGGGAGCAAGGAGACCTCGTCCACGTCCTTGACGCCGACGACACGTCTGTTGACGACTGTCCCCGCGCGGTCATCCTCGACACTACTTAACCCCTTCGCGGACGCACAGCCCAGTCCCGCGGTCTCTGACGCTTCGTCCGCAGGGATTGCAGGCGTTGGCGCTGGTGGCAAGAGCCCGGTCAACCCTTTCGTGACGCCCTTCGACGACGAGCACCAGGTCACGATTCTGCCGGCGGAATCGCGAAAGAGCATGAAGACGAACCCTTTCCAGCCCGTGGTCATGTGAACACTGAACAGTGGCACCGCGCTTCCAGCTACCGTCCTTTCACGCACTCTACCCCTTCACTTGCATACACACCCACATTGACGACTCTTCCACGAACATTTCTTCCTCCCTGACGTCTCTGTAGCATATTCTGGGCTCCTCGATGGCGTCTCTTAATCGTGTTTCTTGGTTTCCTGTTCGGTTTGCTGCATAACTATTAATGACGGTCTCGAATAGCTGTATTTTTACCCATAGAACTACTCGCACGCTCTTACTCTGGCGGTAGAGCTCATGCTGTAGCGTAGTAATGACAACGCAACATTGCATCCAAATCGCGTGTCGTGGCAGCTCTTGTGCTGAAACGAAGGAACGCCTCCGTCACCCGCCTGGAACGGTCACTTCTGGGTATCGCCAACATGCTGCGTGGTCTCGTGCTCAGGCCGGCTCGCTCTAACTGCCCTCGTCTTATCTCGGGAAACTCGCGTCTCTCTGCAACACCTCTTCTGCAACTTGGACGCGTCGCTGAGCGTCCGTACTTCTGCCCTCGGCCCCTCCTCGCCCGCCACTTCCAGACCTCTTTTCCTACCCGATCCGAGACGCGTTTAGCTATGGCACCTCATGCGGTCAATACTACGGACTGGCTGCACAAGCTGAGGGATCTAATGGCCCAGGACGGGTACTCTGTGGATGCCATCGTGATCCCGAGCGAGGACGAACGTGAGCACGGGGGCGATCGCCGGGGAACGGGGCTGATGCTTGGCAGATGCGAGTGAATACCTGGCTGCCGCCGACGAGCGACGTGCGTGGATTTCTGGCTTCACTGGGTCTGCAGGTGCGCGACTATATCTCTTCTTGGTCTCTAGGACTTACCCTGCTTGCAGGATGCGCGATCGTGACTCTGGACCGCGCATACCTGTTCACGGATGGGCGCTACTTCCTGCAAGCGAGCCAGCAGCTGGACGAGTGCGGCCTACTCTACCCCATCGCTCTCCCTGATATCTAATACAAGCCACAGTAACTGGACCCTAATGAAGGTTGGCATGCCAGGTTCATTGCAATCCCCTTCCTCAGCCGTAGCCATGCTCACCGTGTCCCAGACGTCCCCACCTGGCAGGAATTCCTTCACAAGAAGCTCCCTCACAACTCCAAAATCGGCATCGACTCCACCGTCATTTCCGTCTCCGACGCCGAGTCCATCTCCAAAGAACTTGCCCCCCTCGGCTCTTCCCTAGTCCCGCTCACCACAAACCTCGTCGACGCGGTCTGGGGAGCCGCGAAGCCCGCGCGCCCCTCCAACGAGGTCTTCTACCTCGCGGAGGAGTTCTCCGGCGAGTCGCACACGAGTAAGCTGCAGCGCCTGCGTACAGCGCTGGAGGAGAAGGAGGCCAGCGCGATGGTGGTGACGAACCTGGACGACATCGCGTGGCTGTTCAACCTGCGGGGGTCAGATATCGACTACAACCCGGTGTTTTTTGCGTACGGGGTGGTCGAGCCGGAGCGTGCGATTATCTTTACGGACAGCAAGCGGGTAACGGAGGATGCGAAGAAGCGGCTGGCGAATGATGTGGAGTTTCGTCCGTACCAGGAAATCTGGGATTACTTGAAGAACAACCTCAGGTCGCTGGTGGAGGGCAAGGATAGCAAGGTGCTCATTGCGAGCAATGCCAGCTTGGCAGTCGCAAGCGCTTTCCATCCGGTATGCCCTGCTATTGCTGTCATCAGCGCACACCCGCTTACTCCATTCAAGGACCGTGTCCTCGCCACACGTTCACCCCTAGCCGACCTCAAAGCCATCAAGAACGATGTCGAGCTCGAGGGCTTCCGTCAATCCCACCTTCGCGACGGCGTGGCCCTCGTCAAGTATTTCGCCTGGCTCGAAGCACAACTCAACAAGGGCGTTGAGCTCACGGAAGTTACCGCTGCCGACCAGCTGGAGGCTTACAGGGCGTGAGTCTAACTCCACACATGCACGAATACAGACTTATGGTTCCCAGAGAACAGGAGCACTGTAAGGGCCTGTCATTCCCGACCATATCTGCGACCGGGCCCAATGGAGGTACGGATAATTTGTGCTCTTCCGAACTCACGTTTACTGATCTCTCATAGCCATCATCCACTACGACCCCGTCCGAGATGATTGTGCCATCGTCAAGAAGGAGCAGGTCTACCTCTGCGACTCCGGAGCTCAGTTCCTTGATGGCACGACAGATGTGACGCGGACATGGGTGCGTCCCTCACCGCTCCTTGTCCATCTTCGTGCTAACGCCTAAAAACAGCACTTCGGCACGCCAACTGAAGAAGAGCGCCGCGCGAACACCAGAGTATTGCAAGGACATATCGCTATTGCGACCGCTGTGTTCCCGAACGGGACGACGGGATATCTACTGTATGTTATGAGACGTTGTGCACCGAATAGCTGCTAACGTCCATCCAGTGATCCTTGGGCTCGTAAATACCTCTGGCAAGATGGCTTGGACTACAGGTGGGTAGTATATTATCTTCTCGATAATCCTACTTAGGGCCCTTAGACATGGCACCGGCCACGGCGTCGGTGCCTTCCTAAATGTCCACGAAGGCCCGCAAGGAATGGGAACCCGCATAAGTATATCTCCGCACCTTTCCTCCCCATCCTTGCGCATTAACTTTCTCCGCCAGCCGCCAATGCTGTCCCCATCAAGTCCGGCATGACCATCTCGAACGAGCCCGGCTACTACGCCGATGGCAAGTTTGGCATTCGTATCGAGAGCATCGTCCTCGCACGTCCTGCGGACACGCCGAACAACTTCGGTGACAAGGGCTACTTGCGGTTTGAGACGGTGACAATGTGCGTTGGGACTTTCCGAGGCCTTTTTCTTCTCGCCTGCTTGCGAAGGCATGACAGGCTGACATACACCCTTAAGGTGCCCATTACACAAGAACCTTATCGACGTCTCGCTTCTGAGTGCAGAAGACAAGAAATGGATAGACGGGTACCATCAAACCGTATGGGAGAAGCTCTCTCCCTTGCTAAAGGACGACACGCCAACGTTAGAGTGGTTGAAGAAGGAAACATCTCCGCTGTAGTCTGTATACCTCTGGTAAGTAGCCCAAAGTATCTAGTCGTGGTGTGCTGACACCCTTGTAGTCTTAAATTCTGTATTTATCCCTGCATAAAGCGAGCTACCCAAGCAACCACATGGGCCCCCAGTCGTGAAACCTGCACTTGCGTGCGCTGTCCAGGCGTCGTGCATTTTATAGAAGATTTGCCAGTTCTGCATTGGACTCTGGGTGCGTTTGGTGCTTACTGACACAGGCTGTTGACCCACAACGAGTCAATGAACTTGCATCGAACCCTCGGGGTGATCGCCGCAGGATCGCCGGGAAAGTCGAACATTTTCCACGTGACCTTTTGATCCGTTGGCAGGATCCGGAACATGCAACCCCGCTTTTTCCTCCGTCCTTCGATTGCGAGTTTCTTTTTACCGCGCTGTGCGTGCGCGCGGAGGCCGCGCTTCGCACAAGTCTATTGACGACGCGCGGATTACGAGCTATCTTTCACTGAGGAGTCCGACGTCAAGGCACAACACAGCAGCGATAGAGACGACAGGAGGAGGCTCGGGGAGGGAACTCAGCGCCAGGTCCACTGTCCGCCTCGTACCTGGTTCGATCGCCCACGAAATGAGACCGACAAATGGGACAACTATCAATGGGCTGAATAACAGATACTGATCACGATAGTGGACCCGAGCACCCGCCTACGGCGGCTCGCACGCGCTCCATGTTTATCTTTGACGCTGGCCTGTGGTGCAGGAGTCGATGATCGTGCCGGGGCCGATAAGCCCCAGGCCATTTTCTTATCCTCCTCGCCCGTGTCGCGAAGGACGCCTTCACCCCCTTCCCTCCCCCTCCCCTCATGAGCGCCAGCTATAGCTCCGCATCCGACCCCGAGAAGGGGTTGGAGAAGGACTCCGTCCATGGCGCGACGAGGTGCGTACCTACAACTTCCACACGAGTGTTCCCCCGCTGATCCTTCGCGCAGCGTTCACGAAGCGCGGATCGCGGACTTGAACGACGATGTACCGCGGGGCAAGCTCAGGTCTCTCTGGACGCTGGTGGAGAAGCTCGATCGCTGGGGTGTTGAGGCGCGTGGAATTGAGCGAGTAATGCCGGACGAACGATCGCAGACCTGTGAGTAGCAAGTCGCGCGCCTTAAGTAGCAATAGATTGACGCCATCCACAGCGTCGCTGGTGTGCTTCTGGATGTGGCTGGCGGCAAACATGACCATCTCGACTTTCTCTCTGGGCACGCTTTCTGCGTCTGTGTTCGAGCTTGGGCTGAGGGATGCGGTCTTGACCATCCTATTCTTCAACCTTCTCACTTCAATCCCTGCGGCTTACTTCTCGACATGGGGACCGAAGCTTGGTGCGCTTCATTCGTCGATCGAGCGAAGCAATGCCTGACGATCGTAATTACCTACAGGATTGCGCCAATTGACCATCTCGCGCTTCTCCTTCGGCTATTTTACGGCTTTGATCCCCGTTATCCTCAACTGCATTGCATGCGTAGGGTGGTCTGTTGTGAACTCAATCGTTGGTGGGCAGACGCTGCAGGCCGTCAGCACGTCGCACCAGATCCCCATCGCCGCTGCCATCGTTGTCATAGCGGTCGGCACTATCATCGTGTCCTTCATGGGCTACCGTGTCGTGCATTTGTATGAGAAGTACTCGTGGATTCCTGTTAGTGACTTCTCTTCTACGTGTCTATGTCTCACTTTATTCCTCATAGGTCTTCGTCATTTTCATCATCTACGCGGGCGAGATTGGTGCTCATGTCGACGTCGGTGCTTGGGGCGGAAGCGGCGAGGTTGAGGCTGCGAGCGTACTGTCTTATGGCGCTAGGTAGGCATACCCTCGGCCGTGGTGGTGATCGTTGGTCTAATCCCAGGATTAGCGTCGCTGGTTTTGCACTGGGCTGGACCTCGCTGGCTGCGGACTACTCTGTCCAGCTTCCCGAGAATATGGCTACGTGGAAGGTGTTCTGGTCCACATAGTGAGTTTCTCTTATTTCCCGGTCCGCGCTGTCTTGTTGACAACGTTTAGCTGGGGCATGAATCTCCCGATGATTACTGTCGAGATCCTCGGTGCGGCTGCCATGCACACCTTCGATGCTAAGCCGACGTGGGGCGATGCCTACGGTGCTATCGGTGTGGTAAGCTGGATCAGTTCTCAAAGTTCGAGCAATTAACTGATGTTTTACAGGGTGGTTTGCTCGGTGCGCCGCTTACTGGCACCATGCACGGCTTTGGCAGCTTCCTTCTCGTGCTGCTCGCCCTCTCCATCGTGGCGAACAACATTCCCAACATGTACTCTCTCTCCGTCACCTTCCAGGTGCTCGGTCGTTACGCCCAGGCCATTCCCCGCGTTTTCATCGTCCTTGCCGGGTCCGCCGTCTACATCGCCCTCGCCATTGTCGGTGCTAGCTACTTCGAGGAGTGGCTTGATACGCTCCTCGTCGTTCTCAGCTACTGGCTCGCGATCTTCTCGACGATCTTGGTGGAGGAGCACCTTATCTTCCGTCGCGGAGATTGGATGAACTATGCACCTGATGAGTACAATCAGTGGAGGAAGCTGCCCCTTGGCGTTGCCAGTTTCTTGGCTTTGGGCTGCGGAGTGGCAGGCGCTGTTCTTGGTATGGCACAGACGTGGTATGTCGGAGTCATCGGTAGCAAGTTCGGGCTTCCGGGTATCGGTACGTTCGATGTTCCTCTCCTGCACCCATCTCGAAGCTCACACAATCATTCTAGGTGGCGATATTGGCTTCGAGCTGTCCTTCGCCTTCAGCGCGGTGACATATCCCATCTTCCGATATATTGAGCGCAAGTATTGGGGCGCCTAAATCTCCACTGTCCTCTAGACTGTACTTTGCTGTTGTATCTGGTCTGCTATAATCACGACATATGGGAATATCGCAGCGTCTGAGTGATGTTGTTCCAAGTACGATGACCGAGGTCAGTTGCTTGATCATCCTCCGATAGACACGGGGGCTAACACCTTCAGTTTCCGAACCTGGTTTCAGTCCCATATAGGAGTCAATAGGTAGGGAGACGTAAACTCACGATGGAATATAGGCGTCAACGTCCGTACGAAGTCGGAAAGACAATCAATACGGTTCCACCCGAGGCGCAAGTCTTATGAATGCCTTACCTGAGGTTTTACCCAGCAACGACTTTTCTATGGCCGACTCGGCCGTTTCAATGTCAGTATCTTCGCCTCGCAGACCTTTTTTGACTAACGCATTGCGAAGGCCTTCATTTTTATAAGGCCTTTACTATCCGACTGTTTGTTTAACAACATCGAACTCGAGAACCATGTCTACTCCTAACAACCTCAACATCCCCTCAGGCGATTCGACTGTCGTCGTACGCGCTTTCGACAGTGTCGATCCATCGAAGTCCCGCATTCCCGCAGCCTTCTTCCTCTCACCCGTCCTAGAGGGACACGAGGAGATCTTCTTCCCGGCCTACGCGTTCCTCATCGAGAACCCCCGCACGGGCCGTCGCGTCATGTTCGACTTGGGTGTTCGCGAGCCGTCGTCGTATCCCCCGCAGGTCCAGCAGATGTTCGAGCACCCCGGCGTGGAGATGGTAGTGCACGACGTGGTGGACCAGCTCGTCAAAGGTGGTGTCGATCTCAAGTCCATCGACACGGTGATCTGGAGGTGATGGTGTTCACATCGTTTCTATCGCGTCTCTGACTGTATTTTCATAGCCACACGCATGTGGATCACGTCGGTATGTCACTTGTTCTTCGTCTATAGCCCTTGAGAATGCTGATATCTTGCAGGGGACGTGAGCAGATTCCCGCCTTTGACGGAGCTCGTCGTCGGTCGCGGGACGAACGTGAGCACGTACCCCAGCCAACCAGATTCCGGTCTGCGCGAAGAAGATTTCCAGTCAGTTCACCGTCCACCGATAGCGTTCATCTCGCTCACCCCACACTCAGAGGACGGTCTGTTCGCGAGCTTACCTACGGAAACCTGAAGATCGGAGGGTTTGACGCGCTCGACTTCTTTGGCGACGGGAGTCTCTACCTGCTGGATGCTCCTGGCGTACGCTCAATCACCCTGCCGTTACCTGTATACGCTCAACATCTTGTTTTAGCACATTGGTGGTCATACGTGCGGGCTTGCACGAGTTACACCGACGTCGTTCGTCTTCTTGGGCGCTGACATCAGTCACCACCCGGGCGAGTTCCGACCGTCGACTCTCCTGCACACGATCATCGCTTGCCCGGGAGATATCCTCAGCGCTGCCAACAAGACCATTTCCAAGGAGCACTTCGCTTCGTTAGCGTCAGAGCCTTTCGACCTTGCGAAGCGCGATCGGCCCATGTTAGACATCGCCGAACATGGTGTTCACGAGAATCCGGCCGTTGCGAGGGAGGCTGTACAGAAGATGCTTCCTTTCGATGCCCATCCGGACGTCTTCGTGGTCATTGCCCATGATCAGACGCTTGTAGGCCATCTGCCCCTCTTTCCGGAGATTATCAACGACTGGAAGAAGGCCGGGCTCAAGGAGAAAGTTGCTTGGTCCAGCTTTCAGCCAGAGAATACTGCGTGGCGCTACAGCAAGGGTAAGTATGCCAATTTATATGTTCTGGGCTGCTTCATACTCAAATATGGCCAGCGTGATCTTGTAGCAATCAGACCGTCCGGTGGTAACGACGAAGGGCACTCGTATACCGTAGCTTCTGCACGGTTCGCATATTTTCAATACGGTACCAGTGCCTGAGATATCGATGTACGATTCACTCCTTTCTTTCCAGAGAATAAGCAACGAAAATGCGAAAGGCAAAGTCGAACCGTGACAAAGTGGGTACGTGTGACCTTCGGCAGCTGCCGAGGCAGCGCGGGGGCGTCCCGTGCTGACCTCCCGAATGTTCGACGTCCGTATCGACGCTCCGATGGGTAGGCCTCTACTGGATGCTTTTCCCATGGAAAGAGACGGCATGCAGTCGCGTCACCGGCACTGTGGAGGTACGACTCAACCTACGTTGTTCACCCTAACCGTCTAACCGAGAATTTGGTTTAAAGGTCGAAGAGACCACTCGAGTTTTCCGCAGTCACTGTCCCTCTTCGCAGCACAAGGATGGCGACCTCCACCGAGATTGACATCCCTCACAGCGATGCGACCGTCATCGTAAAAGCACTGAACTCTATAGACTCTGAGAAGTCCCACATCCCGGCTGCTCTGTTTATGTCGCCTGTGCTCCCCGGGCGAGAGGAGTACTGGTTCCCCGACTTCTCTTTCCTCATCGAGAACCCGGCGCTTGGAAGACGTGTCATGTTTGACCTTGGGGCGCGCAACCCAGCGACATACCCTCCACCCATTGCGCAGCAGCTTGAGCTGCCCTTCGTTCAGTTTGTGGTCAACGAGATTCCGGACCAGTTGATCAAGGGGAATGTCGATCTCAAGAGCATTGATACGGTTATCTGGAGGTAGGCTTGCACGTAGATCAAGGAGGAAGACAATACTGATGCTTCGCAGCCACGCCCATATGGACCATATAGGTGCGCTTGTGTCATAAAACGGTCATACATCTATACTGAGTATTCACAGGGGATACTACGAGGTTCCCTCCTTCCACAGACCTCGTGGTTGGTCGAGGCATGCAACTCAAGCTCTATCCCGACCACCCGGAGTCCGGACTATTTGAGAAGGATATCAGGTGCGAAACCGCGCAGTCTTGTTATCCTAATTTGTTCTCATGGTTCATTATAGTGACAGAAACGTGCGCGAGCTAACCTACGGCGGTCTCAAAATAGGAGGCTTCGACGCGCTCGACTACTTTGAGGATGGAAGCCTCTACTTGCTCGACGCTCCCGGAGTAAGTCTTCCATGACTTCTCGATGCCATAGAACTGAAGGGACTCTCCCTGCCTCCCATAGCATGCACCTGGACATACGTGTGCTCTCGCACGAGTTACTCCGACCTCCTATGTCCTTCTGGGCGCAGACATCTCCCATCACCCTGGTCATTTCCGTCCGTCGGCCTCGCTGCATCAGACCATCGCATGCCCCAGCCAGATCCTCGCGGCCGCTCGTAGGGCTATCTCTGGCGAGCACTTCGGCGTGCAGGACCCTTCCCAACCATTCGATCTCGCCAAGCGCACGACACCCATGTTCGACATCGCGGACGGTGGCGCGTACGAGGACCCACCGACAGCGAGGGAGACCCTCCAAAAGCTATTGGCTTTCGACGCCCACCCGGACGTTCTGGTGGTCATTGCGCATGACCTAACACTCGTTGGCCACCTTCCTCTGTTCCCGAAGACGATCAACGACTGGAAGAAGGATGGCCTGAAGGAGAAGGTGACCTGGGCCAGCTTCGAACCGGGTAACAGAGCTTTTAGGTATAGCAGCAGTGAGTATCTTACTGCAAAGCTTTGTGAATTGCTCTTACCTTGAATGAACAGTCAATGTCGGCTCCAAGGCAGCGCCTTGAGTCTGTGAAATTCAAGCACAATTGCCTCAACGACGACCATTCCCATCCACGTACTCCCGTAAGTTATACGCCCTCCTTACGCTACTCGTTTCCAAACGCTGAGATTCCTATGTAGGTCCTGACGTACTCAAACTGTAAATCTCGATTCAATGTACCATGCAATGCATGACCTATCTAGTAAGAATACAATTGGACGCCGATTGTGTGCAGATAACTCTAGCGTTAACGTGAAGCATGGCCGTGAACCGCGGGTGATACGTCCTCGCCCACCGGTCAACACGCTCCAATAGAAGAGCATCGCTACGGGCTGCTCTGCAAGCAGACTATGATCACTCATTACCGCTAAGGCGCTCACTGATCACCTCACCCAAAGCGCGATCTGGCAGGCGCAGTGTAGATCGTCGTGGAGGATATAAAGCGCATCTCCGCATTCTTCTCATCCATTCGACGATCAGCCCACCATGAACGCCCCCAACCTCAACATTCCATCCAGCGACGCCACCGTCACCGTCCAGGTCTTCAACACCGCCTACCCAGAGCGGACGAGGGTACTCGCGGGAACGCTCATGAAGCCCGTCCCGCCAGGACGCGAGTACTTCCACTTCCCCATCTATGTCTTCCTCATCGAGAATACACGACTGGGGCGCCGCGCGATGTTCGATCTGGGTGGCCGCGATCTGACGACTTACCCGGCGGGATTGCAAGACCTGCTTAATCGGCTCGACTGCACGATGCACCCGGACGAGATTACGGGGCAATTGCGGAAGGGCGGTATCGAGCTAGAGAGCATCGACACTGTGATCTGGAGGTAAGGATGAGTAGTTGAACAATGTTGCGTTGACCTGACATAATTATTCCACAAGTCACATACACTTCGACCACATAGGTGAGATACACCTGCCCCATTCTCAGCTGCTCTCATGCTGACTTTCTCGCTCAGGCGACATGAGCAAGTTCCCGCCCTCTACCCAGCTCCTCGTAGGCCCGGGAACCAACTTGAAGGTCTTCCCCGAAGATCCTCATTCTGCTCTGCGCCCAGAAGAATTCGCGTCAGTATGTTCATACCCTCGACAGCGCGACGACAACTTACACCATCACCAGCGGCCGCTCGGTTCGCGAGCTTGACTATTCGGACGGCCTGAAGATAGGCAACTTCAACGCCATCGACTTTTTTGGCGACGGCAGCTTCTACGTGCTGGACTGCCCTGGGGTAACTATGTCTTTTCTGCCTGATGTGAGCCTCACTCATCATGTTCTCTTCGCAAAGCACATCAAGGGCCACACCTGCGCCCTCGCGCGCGTCACGCCCACCACCTTCATCTTCCTCGGCGGCGACATCTGCCACCACCCGGGCGAGTTCCGACCGTCCGACATGCTGCACCAAACCATGCCCTGCCCCGGAGACATCCTCGACGCGGCATGGAAGACTATCTCCAGCGAGTACTTCTGTCCCGCAAACGCCTCGAGGGTCGTTCCAACGACCGGCACCTTCGAACCTTTCGACCTCATCCAGCGCGCCCATCCGATGCTGGATGTCGTCGACGGTGATGTGCACGAAGATATCGAGGGGACGAGAAGGGCTATCCGCAACTTGCTGCCTTTCGACGCTAGCCCGGATGTCCTGGTGGTCATCGCGCACGATCAGACGCTGGTAGGGGAGATTCCTCTCTTCCCGAAGACCTTGAACAAGTGGAAGGAGGACGGGTTGAAGGAAAGGGTGGTGTGGACGAGCTTCCGCCCAGAGACTCTAGCTTATCGATATAGCGGTGAGTATATGTCCACCATCCGAGCACAGCGTATGAATATAATTCAACAGTGGTCCTTCCGAAGGTCGCTTACACGTGCAAGCTCTGAATATGATTATGATGCTATACCTGCAAGCGACGACGCTGTGCAAGCTGTGATAGCCATATGAAGAAGCTCTCACTATACAGTACACTTCTATGTCCTCCAAACATTGAGTCTACCAAAACTTCTCGTTCAGCGCGCACTGTCGAGCCATCTCGAGCTGCAAATGATGTCAACATCCACCGCCATCATCCAAAATCCACCTAACTCACCTGCTCATCCGTCCGGCACACCAACAACCTCCTCTTCCCCGTCTCCTCCTCCCCTATTTCCACCACGGCGCCACCCTTCTCATCTACCTTCGCATTTCTCTCCTCCGACACCGGTCGAAAGCCTAAGCATGTGATCCTGTCGCACAGAACCTTGCGCAGCTCCTGACTCTTCTCTCCGATCCCCCCGCTGAAGACCACCGCGTCGACGTTGCCCTGCAGCTTGAGGAAGTAGGAGCCGAGGTAGCCCTGGATGCGGTCGACGAAGATGCTGAACGCCAGCAGCTCAGGCGACATCTCTGATGACGGGTCGCCAGCCAGTAGATCCGGGCCCGGTGCATAGGCTGGCTCGCTACCCTCGCTTTTGCCCTTTCCAACACCACCTGCTGCGAACGCCTTCTGTATCACTTCCCCGAAATCCGTCGTCCCGCACAGTGCCTTCCAGCCCGACTTCGTGTTCAGAATATCCTCCGCCTGCGTGACGCGCAGGTCCACCGCCGCACTCGGCTCGTGCGTGATGCGTCCAGCCTTGTTGGTGTAGTGGAAGATGAGGGAGGGGTCAACAGCACCAGCGCGGGTGGCGCCCGGGAGGCCGCTGAGCGGTGTGAGGCCCATGGAGGTGTCGAGGGAGCGGCCGTTTTGGATGCAGCAGATGGAGGCACCGGAACCAAGGTGCATGAGGATGAGGTTGAGGGAGGATGCGGGCTGGGAAGGAGCCGCGGTGAGTGAGGACCGGGTCAGAGGTAACTTGATGCGGTACCTTCTGCAAGTGCTGGGAGACTGCGCGCAGTATGTACGAGTCTAGATATGTCATGAGCATCGAGAAAATCAGACATGGGAAAGGCACGCACAACTCAAGCCATGGAAGCCGTACTTCTTCAGACCCCTCTGCTTCGCCACCGTCTGGTCAACCGGGTATGCCGAGATGTATGGGGGAATCGTGCGGTGGAAAGCAGTATCGAAGAATGCGATCGACTTGACTCCCGGTAGCGCATCCGCTGCGCCCTGTATAACAGACAAGGCCGCGCCGTTATGCCTGCAAACATCGTCAGCCAACCTGCTGCAAGCGTCGTACACATGCACTCACAATGGCGCCAAGTCCGACAATCGCTCAATATGATGATACGCACCCGAGCTCAGCTCGACCGGATCCCTGTAGTCCCCTCCATGAACCACACGATGGCACACATGCGAGATACGTCCGCGCTCGATTCCAGCAGCGTCCTTCAAGTGTTTGAGGAAGTGCTCGAAGGCTGACGCGTGGTCATCAATGCCGTCCACCTCGACCTTGTCGTCGACCTCTTCGGGAGTGCCTTTGACCGTCTTGAAGGTAAACTTCGCAGGTGGCGCGCTGATATTAGAGATGGACGACTGCAAGAGCAGCCCGACTGGCTCATCCAATCCCTCGCTGGCAAGGGCGTATAGCGAGATCTTGAGTGAGGAAGAACCTGAGTTGGCCGACAGGATGAGTTTGTCCATCTTCCCAGTCATGATGGGTGCATAAGATAAGGGTATGTTCAAGCAGGAGATTGAACTGACGAGGCTGCACTTCATCATATAGACGCCATGACGTTCGCATGATGTATGCCTTCAAGCTTCAGGTCGCTCCGGAGTCTCCCATCCAGTCGGTGACTAGGTATCGACCGTACAGGCAAGGCCAACGCCGTAATGAGAGAGGCAATTAGAGGAAGCATGCCTTCGAAAATGCGTTGACGAGAGGACAAGGCAAGGCGTAGCATCGCGTGACTGACCGAATCTGGCTCACAAAAGGATTTCCTGATGCGGAATACACACTGCAGGTTGGGTGATCAGAACGCCTCAGTTCTCTAGGGTATATAGTACACATGTTGGACACTTTCACTCTTCCGATATGGTATAACAATCTCCTATAACTATACTTTCCGCCCTCGCAAACGCTCAGTTCTTCTGCTCGTGCGTCTCAATCCACTGCGCAGGGCCGGAGCGGGGCGCGTGCGGCGGCTGAACCGGCGGGGAGACAGGCAGAGTCGGCACCGCGGCGCCCGCAGTCGACGAAGCCGATGCAGTCGAAGACGTCGTTGACGATGAAGCGCTGGAGGACGGAACGGGCAGTGCGGGAGGCGCGACTGGAAGGTCGCGGACCGAAGGAGGGACACCAACCGGCGGGGAGACCGGAAGGCTCGGTACTGCCGCGCCAGAGGTCGACGAAGCCGAGGCCGTCGATGTTGAGGACGACGAGGCAGAGCCAGACGAGGCAGCCGGCGTCGGAAGCGCCGGGAGACCGCGCTGCGTCAGGCTGTTGGGCACAGGTGGGCGCATACCAAGGCCGGCCGTCACGGCCGTGTCGGGCACTGAGGTAACAGACACGCCATGGGCATCAACAGACGGCTTAGCGGCCGAGGGAGGAGCAGAGACGCCCGTGGACACGGATGCCGGACCGCCCATGGCGATGGTGACCTCCATGCCGCGAGCGACACGAATTGTGCGCTCCGTGGAAGTGACTGCACCGCTACCCTCGCCCATCTTCTTCCCGTCGGTGTCGTGTGCAGTGACCCTCTTCTTCTGCATGCGACGCGCGTTCGGCTGCGACGACGCAGTCGGGGCGGGAGGAGGGGCAGCCTCGTAGTCGGCGTTATGAACCTGGCGGGCGTGCGGGTTGCTCGCGGCACCGTTCGTCACGATGCGGCGATCCTCGACGAAGCCCTTGTCGCCGCGACGCCCGGGGGGAGTGTTCGGCGCAGAGCTGGGCACGGAGCTGGGCTCAGAGTTGTCGACAGCCATGTGGGCGCTGTGACCCTGCGCGTCCGAGGAGTTGGGCGTGGAGGGAATGGCATTGGTGTTGCCGTGAACGTCGCGAGACGACTTGGGCGCCTGCGGGACAGAGTCGCTGTCGGCGGCAGCACCGACGCTGTGGCCTTGAGCGTCCGAGGAGTTAGGCGTAGAGGGCACGGCGTCGGTCTTGCCCTCGGAGTGGACGGCGCGAGGGGCGTTAGGCAGCTGGGGAACAGTGTCGCTGTCGGTGTTGGTCTTGACACTGTGACCCTGAGCGTCACCCGCGTTAGGCGTGGAGGGTACAGCGTCGGTCTTCCCCTCCTCGTGGAGTCGGCGAGACGTCAGAGGCGTATCGGGGACAGAATCGTTGTCGATACCGCCTTCAGCCTTCTGTCCTTGGGCATCCGAGGCGCCGGGCTGCTTCGGCATGGAGTCGTTCTCTTGCTCCATGTGAAGTTTGCGAGGGGTAGCAGGCGCCTTGGGGAACAAATCGCTGTCGAGCTTGCCGTGGACCGTGTGGCCCTGAGCGTCAGAAGTATCAGGCGAAGGCACAGCATTGGTCTCGTCCTCGGTGTGCAGATCACGGTCGAATTTCACGGAGGGCGTAGAGTCGGTACCAGCAATCGCCTTGACTTTGTGGTGGTCACCGTCGCCGGCGCCGGGCGGGGCGGGAATGGCGTTGGTGTCGGCCTCCATGTCAGTGCCGGCGAGCGCGCCAGAGATGACGATGGGCAGAACAGCGAGAAGGAGTTGGAAACGCATGTCGGAAAGTGGATGGAGTGCCGGAGGTAGACTGGTGTCGGGGATAGAACGGGACGCTGTTGAGCGCGCGATGTGAGAAGATGGCGGTTCGGGATGAGGAGGGAGAAAGGGACGCGCGTTCTCTTATACCGCCCCGCGAGTGGCGGTGCCATACCCGCAGATCGACGCGCGAAGACGAGGCTAATCGACGCGAATGACGCGTCGAGTTCATTAAACAGACAAACAAGGCACGCGCGTCGCGCGACAAGTCACGAGACCGCAATCCAAGCACCCAATATTCACATTTGTTACTTACAAGGTTGATAGATTACTTGAAAGCTTTCGTAAGGGCTTCCGAAGCGTCTGTAACCATCTGCGCCCCGATTGGCAAGCGACTGTGCGAGGCTTCAGATTCCAGACGAGGAGTATTGAACAACTGAACGTACCCATCCATGGCCATGATAGGGTGCGGCGCGCCCTTGTACACCTTCGTCTCCACCTCGACGCCGAGCTTTTTCAGCTTCTCGCCGTACGCAATGCCCTCGTCGCGCAGGATGTCCATCTCGCACACGGCAATCCACGTCTTCGGCGACTTGGCTGCCAGCTCATCCGGCGCGAAGATGGGGGACGCGTCCCACTTCGTCCAATCCTCCTTGTTCGGGAGGTAGTTGTTGACGAACCAGTGCATGCGCTCAGGGCCCAGCCACGGCGTCTTCTCGTTCTCCTTCCACGACTTTTGCCTATCGTTCGTCTCTGAAGCGGTGTTGTCCGTGACAGGAACAATGAGGAGCTGGAAGACAATGGGGATAGGGGGATCAAGTTGGCTGGCTTTTAGAGAGCCGATGGCGGCGAGGTTTCCACCGCTAGATGACTATTCAGAGACAGCGAGCACGACTGTAGAATCTGGACATACCTGGAAGAACCACCGATAGCAATCTTGTTAGGGTTGATGTTTAAGAGTTCCTTGCCCTTCGAGTGTACCCATTGGATAGACTCAACAGTATCCTGGACAGCGATCGGGTACTGGTGCTCGGGCGCGAGTCGGTAGTCCACCGATACGACAACGCAGTTCGCCCCTGCACTGGGCGATTAGCCTCGACATCGCGGATGAACGCATGATGTGCACTTACGAACGCACATGTTGCTGCAGAATGCATTCTCACTGTTGATGCTACCAAGCGTCCACCCACCTGTTCGATGTCAGCCATATTCTATGGAGTGTGCACACCACGTACCGCCGTGATAGAAGAGGAACACCGGCCATCCCTCCGTGGGTGGCGTGCCCTTCGGCGTGAAAGAACGAACGCTAGTGTGTGAGAGCGGATAGTCCTTGATGTCGCAATCGAGCACAGCTGAGCTGCCCGGGACAGCTGGCGCATTGCGGATCTCTGGCGACCAAGGCAGCGTATGCGGTGGGACGATGTACTGCAACACCTCCTCATGGAACTTCACGTAGTCGGGATCGAGACGAGGGATGACCTCGGGATCCAGAGGCTGGTGTGCGACAGACATGTTGAGCGATGAGATAGGCGGCGATGGGTCTCGAAGATGAAGTGGGAGTCGGCGCTTATTTATGAACTCGCCGCCGGGCGACGGAGCGGGATTCATAGCGCGCTTGCACCCTTTATGCGTCGAAGGGCAAGCGGTCCGGATTCCGGACGAGATAACCTGCCAGATAACGATCAATTCAGAATGCGCTGCCTCGTCGGCGTTGCGCCGGGTTGTCGAAGCGGATCTCCCCCTGCGGGCGGACCGACGCTCCTCTGGTCGTATACTTATGACCCACTTGGGCATATGAGTCGATTGTAACACTTGCTTCCCACCAGCATCCCGCCATGGTCGTGCAAACAAAGACACCCATCGATCTCCTCGCGCTCCCCGACAAGGAACGCCTCGTCGCTGAGTACGGCGGCAAGGGGCTAAATGAGGTCCGCACACCAGCGTTCGTAATCGACCGTAAGGTGTTCGCGGATAACTGCGCGAAGATGCACATCAGGGCGAAGGACTGGGATGCAAGCTTTCGGGCACACCTGAAGACGCACAAGGTGTGCTGCGAGCTGGATCTCCGTGCGATCTCGTCTGACACGAGCGGAGACGGCGGAGGGCTCGAAGTTGCAGATGGTGTCGAGGGCGGACAAGACATCCGCAGTGGTCGTGTCGACCCTCATGGAGGCATGGAGCGTTGTGAAGGCTGGTCTGTTCAAGGACGGCACTATTCAGGATGTGAGCAACTTCAACGACGTGCTAGAAGGTGCTGACCCACAACGTAGCTCCTGTACGGGCTGCCGATAGGAGTGAACAAGGTCCAAGACGTGTCCGACTTGTGGGATGAAGTAGCGCCTAGCGGCGGTGTCATCAGGCTGCTCGTCGACCACCCAGATCAAGTGAAGTTCCTGGAGGAGTTCGAGAGCAAAAGGGAAAAGCCGAGGAAATGGTCGGCCTTTGTGAAGATTGACGGTGGCCAGAAGTACGTGTTCGGTGACTTGGTTGGTGTGGGGGATGGCTGACATGTCCCGAAGGCGCGCGGGCGTTGGCCCCAAGTCAAGCATGATCGAAGAGTTACTGAAGACATTGGCAAAGTCACCGGCAGTATCCATTTACGGCTTCTACGCGCACGCCGGCAACGCATACGCTTCGACGTCGCAATCGGAGGCTTCGAAGTTCTTGACCGGAGAGGTCAACTCTGTGAACGACGCGGCCGAATTCGCCGCCTCGATCCTGGGCGAGGACGTGAAGAACCACCAACAACCGTTCGTCTTGTCCGTTGGTTCCACACCGACAGCACACTCTGCAAGCACAGAGACACGGGCCAAGGTCTCGACATTGTTGCATGGAAAGTTGGAGCTGCATGCAGGTGAGTGATCGTAGACGCGTCGGTGGTCGGTGCGCTTACAAGAACACCAGGAAACTACCCCATGCTCGATCTCCAGCAACAAAGCACTTCCATGATTGGCGGGGGAAACATTGCGCAGAAGGTAATTGCAACTGTCGTCTCGATCTACCCTGGCCGAGCCGAGGATGGTGGAGACGAGGCGATCGTCGACGCCGGTGCGATCGCCTTCAGCAAGGACACAGGCCCTTCGGGTGGGTATGGCGACGTTGTGGGGAAGAATTGGCGCGTGGGCCGCATGTCGCAAGAACACGGCATCCTCACGAAGAAGTCGGATGGGCCTGCAGAGAAGCTCTCGCTGGGAGATACGCTTGAGATTGTCGGGCAGCACGCATGCTTGATTGCGGCCGCGTATCCGTGGTACTACATCGTCGACTCGGACGTCGAGCAGGGGAAGAAGATTGTGGACGTCTGGGTGCCGTGGAAGGGCTGGTAGAGGATATGTAGCAGTAATTTATGGTGGACTCCAGGCAATGACATGACGGTCGCGGAAAGAGGCTTGCGCGCCTGAGCATCACGTGGCGATGATCACCGAAGCCGGCAGACTCGCTCCAGTCGCCGGCACTCATCTTCATACCTACCGCCATGGCGTTGGACGGATACGAGGGAGACGCGACTGAGCTCCTCGAGACCTATGGTGCGCTCGGCTCCCAGACTGCTCGACAGCCACCCTGAACCCTTCGCCAGACTTTCTCATGAAGTACATCATCATCGGTGCGCCCCGATGACCCAGCGAGTCTCGGCCTCGTGCTCACGAGTGCCATGCAGGGGAAGCCGGGACCGGAAAGTCCTGCCTTCTTCACCAGTTCACACATAATTCCTGTGCGTCGACGCCCTCGAATGTCCGGACGGCATGCTGATCGTCGCTTGCAGTCAAGGAACACTCCCAGCATACCATCGGTGTCGAGTTCTCGAGCCGCACGGTTAAACTAGGAGAGAAGCGCATCAAGCTGCAGGTGCGGTGGCGAACAATTGCCAGCCTCCCCTTTGCTGATCAGCTCACTAGCTATGGGATACAGCCGGGCAGGAACGGTTCCGGTACGTGCTTATCCCATCCTATGGTCCGCCTAGCTCATCGTGCTGTCATAGATCCGTAACCCGAAGCTACTACCGCGGCGCTGCTTGCGCTATACTAGTCTACGACATCACAAAGTAATGGAACCTCCCTTTAGTGTATGGGTTCAGGCTAACGTATCGCGTGCCTTCAGTCGCGATTCATTCGTCAACTTGTCCCGATGGCTAGCAGATGCACGGGCACTCGCCAGTCCAGATCTAGTAGTCGTTCTCGTTGGCAACAAGGCGGATCGCGAGGAGGAGCGGGAGGTTGAGTGGTCGGAGGCCAGTCGATGGGCAGCAGAGCACAGTGCGTCTTATGATCCATGTTATATTGTCGTGTGCTAACTTCTGCCCTTCTACCTAGGCGTACATTTTCTGGAAGCATCATCCCTGACTGGAGATAACGTCGAAGCGCCCTTCCTTCTTGCCGCGCGAGCCATCCTCCTGTCCATTGAATCTGGATCGCTAGATCCCGAGAAGGCAGGAAGTGGTGTGAGTTATGGCGACCGGGCATTGCGACGGGTGAACAGTTCGAGCCGATTGAGCTTTGGAAGCCTCAGTGGGCGACCGCGCAGGGCGACGGTCAAGCTATCGAAGGTCAAAGGTTGGATACCTGGTACGCGATGTTGCTCGGGATGAGAACGCTAGTGAGTACATTCGTGTCGCATTACCAACTGGTTCGCTGACCATACGATGCAGCGGTATCCGGATTTCTGATCTCCACACTATGCATACCCGAACCCTGTCTATATACCACCGTCTGGCGACGATCCACCCTCTCTACCTCCTTCGCATGCATGCTCGACATTTTGCGCACTCTATCGGACAGCCATGCTTCGCACAGGCAGTTCACTGGACTAGCTATCCATGACGGGACTTGCCCCCTCCATCAATCCCTTCTACTGGACCTACATTTCCTCAGGACTAACAACCCTACCGCTGTCCACATATGCTACCCCTCTCTGTATTCTCGCATCTGTAGACTTCCTTTCAGATACACTGCTCCTCGGTGTATCCCATTTATGGTGTATATATAATAGTTGTACTACCTGCTCTGGTTTGGGTAATAGAACATATCATGACGCTTGTGCATCTGAAGACGTTTGCCTCGCCGTCAGATTCCTGGTAAAGGACGAAGACAGGAGATTTCGAGCTGGGGAAAGGTTAGGTGGCCGTGTCCCCCATCGTGGTATAGAGCGGCGAATCTATAATGTAATTTAGGTCGAGCGTCAAAGTTGACCCGACGCGTTTGCTTACCTAAGCTTTCGAGGAATTGCGTTGATTACATAAGCTGAGGTGCTCGGCTCTTCGGGCCTTGGGCCGTTCAGCGCGTCCTGCGACTCATTCCTGTGCGTGAACATACCTTCTGGTCCTGCCCCACGGTCGTGTCCCCCCGCCTCCCTTCTCAATCTGCGCGCTCTGGGGGACGTCAATTGTCGCCCCCTCTCGAAAAGATCAGTGCTCAACCGGCAGGTGAGTCCCCATTCAGATCCCTCGCGTCCCTCGGAGCTGATGCTCGCGATGAAGGACCCTCACCCAAAAATCCGTTGCGCCTCGCCGCCGACTTGCTCTATCGGTGAACGAGAAAGCATTGAGGCTCCGTAAGTCATCTCAATCTGCTGCGATCTGTATGTTACTCACCATCATCACTCACAGAATGTCATCCCCAACAACACCAGAGCGTCACCGTCACCAGGAGCGCCAGCAAGCGCGCAATCGTATCAACGTTCTAGAGACCCCCCAGCATCGACGCACACCCCACACACCTCAATTGACGCCGGTTCACAGCCAGGGCCAGCAGTATCTCTTAGACAGGCCCCTGGCGCAACGACTTCGCGCAGTCGAGGCGATAACCCCGGACTCTCTCCCCTCGAGAGGGCGCGCAGGCCGGAGGCGTACGCGGAGCAGGGATCATGCGCAAGAGCAGAGCAGCGGAAGGGGAACAGCGGCCAGGAGCGATGGCGCCGCCCAGCAGCAAGATGCGCCCCCGGCAAATGACGCGGCACCTGCACCGTCAAGGAGAGGACGCGGAAGTCGGGGCCGTGGGCGCGGCGGGGGGAGAGCTGGCCGCGGGCGGCGCGGAAGGGGTGATGCGCATGCACCGGGTGGTGCTCAGCGCACTACACCGCCGCCTTCGTCTGGAATACCCACTGCGGCGAATCGGTGAGTTTAGGCTGCCCTCTCAATGTCGGATGTGACACTAACATCTCGCCCATCGTATCAGGTCAACTCCCACTTCAACACCACAGCGTCAGCGCGACCAGGAGCGTCAAAACGCTCGCGAGAGGACAAACATCCTCACAACCCCCGAGCACCGCCGCATGCCTCCAGCATCCATCCTCACGCCCATCCGCATCGACGGACGTGAGTACCTACTGGACCGTCCGTCCGCGGAGCGCTTTCGGACAACCGCTCTCGCAGCTCAAGGTCGCGGGCGTGCAGGAGGACGGGATGGACGGTCCGGTGGACTGAGGCGAGGGAGCACGACCGCGCGACAGGCTTTTCGAACTGGCCAACTCAACACGCCTTCACCAACATTCCGGCTCCCCTCCCTCCCCTCACCGACAATCTCCCCTCCCGAGTCCCCCACCGAGCGTCTACGGCGCCGCAGATCATCAACGTGGTCATCGACACCATCACCTTCACCCTCACCGTCGTCTTCACCGTCGCCCTCACCCTCGCCTTCACTGTCGCCTCCACTATCACCTCTTCCGTCGCCTTCTCCAGCATTCCCTGACCCGCTCGAGCTGCGGGAGAACACGCGCGCTCGCGATGATCATTCGGCGCGGTCGCGTTCTCCCTCCGACCATGGCAGTGTCGTGTCGCGCAATGAATCACCTGACCACAACATGGATGGTGTCCCGCCACCGCTGCTACGTCGCCTGCCCCTTGCTCGGCGGCCCGTTGCGAACGAGAATGCGCACCTCTACCTTCCCCTTGACCTCGGGGAGATGACGGCGAAGTGCACGTTCTGCAACGCTCTGCACTGGCTTGCAGAGCGTCTGAAGAAATCCCGCATCAACCTCCCTCAATTCGGCACCTGCTGCTTGAGCGGAAAAGTGCAGATTCCGCTTCTCGCTGCCCCTCCCGACGACCTCTACACGCTCTTCTATGCAGTGTCCGACAGTGGGGCTTCGGAGGTGGACCGGCAGCGCAGTCGGCACTTCCTGCAGAAGGTGCGCAGATACAACGCTGCATTTGCGTTCGCGTCCCTCGGTGTGAGCACATCCCGCATCCCGGGCCGTGGAGTGCAGCAGTTCACCATCCGTGGTGAGCTCTTTCACGAGCTGGGTGCTGTGCTCCCAGGCGAGGATCCATCGCGACGGCCGAAGTACGCCCAGCTCTACTTCATGGCCCCCGATGATGCCTGCGAGCAGCGATACCAGAACAACCTGACGCATGGGTTGCGCACCGAGATTCTGCAGATAATCCAGGATGTTCTGCTGCGATGTAACGGGTACATTGACATATACAAGCTTGCTGTTGAGCGCTTGCGTGACTCCGGCCGAGCTCCGTCCCACTTCGCACGTCTCGACTTCCGACCAGGATCTGACCAGCGCCGCTACAACTTGCCAACTGCAGCCGAGCTGGCAGTGGTCCTAGAGGACAGCAAGGATCACAATGCACGCCGAGACATTATGATTGAGCTGCGCCGTGGTGGGCGCAAACATCGCATCTACGACACCCACCCTGCCTACCAGCCCCTCCTCTACGTGCTCCTGTTCCCTCGCGGAGAGCATGGCTACCACGAAAACATCCCCTTGACAAACCCTACAACTGGAGAGGCTATCCCACTCAGGGCCAGGGTAGAGGAGGACGAGGACGAGGAAGGAGCAGATGAAGGTGATGAGGAGGGGGCAGGCCACGATAGCGGAAACAAGCGGGGGAAACAGACCCGTGTTACCCCCATGGAGTTCTTCGCATTCCGCCTTCACCGTCGCCTCGATGAGTCGGACCACATCTTTCGTGCGAAGATGCTGTTCCAGCAGTACATTGTGGACGGGTGGGCACAGACCGAGCAGACACGGCTTCGATGGGCACGGGGCCATCAGCCGCAATTGCGGGCTGACGTCTACCGGGGGTTGGCAGATGCCGTATCGAGCAATGCCGACGTCAATCCCCAGTCGGTCGGCCAGCGCTGTGTCCTTCCGTCGTCCTTCGTTGGCAGCTGGCGCAACATGTTCCAACTCTATCAGGACTCCATGGCTGTTGCACGATTCTTTGGTCGTCCTGATTACTTCTTGACGATCACCTGCAATCCTCAGTGGCCTGAGATCCAGAAGGAGGTTGAGAAGATGGGGCCTGGATTTGATGTTACGGACCGGCCTGATTTGGTCTCTCGAGTCTTTCGTGAAAAGGTGAGCTGGGTTGTTTCGAGTTGCTCTCTGAATTGCTGATCAAGCTCTCCCAGATTTGGATCATCTTGGACAAGATCAAGGGTGGACTTCTTGGGCCCTACCGCGGGCATGTCTACACGATCGAGTTCCAAAAGCGCGGCCTCCCACACATCCACCTTCTCCTGTTTCTCGACCGTGATGCCCGACTGCATACACCAGACGATGTCGATGAGGCAATCTCGGCCGAGATCCCGGACCGCGAGACCCATCCCCGGCTCTATGCACTGGTGACGAAGTTTATGATCCATGGTCCCTGCGGAGATCTCAACCCAAATGCACCTTGCATGAAGGATGGGAAGTGCAGCAAAGGATATCCACGCGAGTTCCAGGAGGTGACCGTCCTCACACCTGATGGCTATCCCCTCTACCGACGTCGCAACAATGGGCGCTACTACGAAGTCTGGCTAGATGGCCGCTGGGTTCGACTTGACAACCGGTGGGTTGTACCTCACAACATCGTCCTCCTCCTCCTTCTCGCCTGCCACGCGAACCTCGAGTGCTGTATCTCCATCAAGGCCTTCAAGTACGTGCACAAGTATGTCTACAAAGGACATGACCGCATCACGATGGCCTTTGGAACGGAGACGGACGAGATCCAGCAGTACCTTGATGCGCGCTACGTGTCATGCTCGGAGGCGGTCTGGCGCTTGCTGCACTATGCGATGCACGATGAGAAGCCGACTGTCACTCGCTTGACTGTACACCTTCCTGACGAGCAGTTCACAATCTTCCAGCCCGACAATCTGCACGATGTTGTTCGCCGGGGTCCCTCTGTCACCACGCTCACCGCCTTCTTCAGGGCAAACCAGGCGACCTCTCCAGCCTCGGACATCGCTCGGACACTCCTGTATCAGGAGTTTCCACAGAAGTTCACCTTCAGCAGTCGGCGATCGTGGAACCTTCGAAAGAAGGGCTTTGCGATTGGTCGGATGCTCTTTGCCCACCCATCTCAAGGCGAGCGCTTCTATCTCCGCCTCCTTCTCACAGTCGTTCGGGGCCCCACCTCTTTCGTCGACCTTCGCACATACAATGGTATTGAGCTTCCCACCTTCCAAGCCGCATGCCTCGCCCGCGGTCTCCTTGAGGATGATCGGGAGTGGGAAGGTTGTCTTGCCGATGCAGCTCATTGGCAGACAGGTGTTGCTCTCCGGCGGCTCTTCGCCACTATCCTGAAGGACTGCCAACCCACTCAACCACGCGAGCTTTGGACAAAATTTCGGGACTCCATCTGCGATGATGTTCGAGTCAAGCTACGGCGCCTACCCTTCCCCATCGCTGATCCGACCACTGACGACATCTATGATTATGGCCTGTACTTGCTGCATCAGGAGCTCTGCAGCATGGGTTCGTCGCTCCACGACTTCGAGACTGCAGGCATGCCCCAGCCTGACTACTCGCGATGGCAGGAGCAAGAGGTCCACTACCTCATTGCCGAGCAGCTGGCATATGATCCCGAAGAGCAGCAGCGGCTTGCTGATATCAACCTGGCCCTTCTCAATCTCGAGCAACGGGAGGCGTTCGATCGCATCTGCTCTGCTATTGGTCAGGGTACTCCTGGCGTCTTCTTCCTCACAGGCCCTGCAGGGACCGGCAAGACCTTTGTCTACAACACGCTTTGCTACGCCCTCCGCGCAACTCGCAAAATCGTACTCTGTGTTGCCTCATCCGGTATAGCTGCCATCTTGCTCATAGGTGGGCGTACCTCGCACTCGACGTTCAAGATCCCCATCAACATCGCTGAAGGGCAGATGTGCAACGTTCGGTCAAACACGGTGCGCGGTGACCTCTTCCGCCGTGCTGACCTCATCATCTGGGATGAGGTGCCCATGCAGAGCCGCTTCTGCCAAGAAGCTGTCGACCGAACGATGCAAGACTGCCGCCAGGATGATCGGCCCTTCGGAGGCTGCACAGTGGTCTTTGGCGGTGACTTTCGGCAGATCCTCCCCGTCGTCCCCAAAGGCGGGAGAGAGGAGATCATTGGCCAGAGCCTGCTTCGGTCGTACATCTGGTGCGACCACATAGCCCCGAACAACATCCTTCGCCTCCAACGAAACCAGCGCCTCGATCATGCCAGCCCCTCGGACCGTGCGTATGCGCAGTGGTTACTCGACGTAGGCGCTGGCCAGAACGTGGACGAGAATGGCTTCGTGACTCTGCGGGATGGGATGGTCGTGCCAGATAACGAGGACGATACGCTGATCAGCGAGATTTACCCTCAGATCTCGCATCTCGATGTCAACGCGAGGAACTACGACGAGTGGTTTTCACAGCGCACAATACTCGCTGCTCGCAACGACACGGTCTCCGAGATCAACAGCGCCATTCTGGACAAGTTTCCCGGCCGCGCGCGAACCTTCAATGGCGTTGACTCGGTCATTCAGGAAGAAGGTGCGGATGCGACCGAGACGTTGGCCGGGTACCCAGTCGAGTACCTCAACTCACTCGACGTGTCGGGGCTTCCGCGAGCTAAGCTCGAGCTCAAGATTGGGTGCCCAGTGATGCTCCTGCGCAACCTCAACCCACGCGTTGGCCTCTGCAACGGCACGCGCGGTGTACTCACACGCGCTACTCAACGTGTTCTTGAGATCCGAGTCATTGCCGGCGAGTTCAAAGGTGAGTTTCTCTTGCTTATTTCTCCACGTAGATTCCGGTCCTGATTCTCCTCAGGGACGCTTGCGCTAATTCCGCGCCTATCGCTGCTGTCAGCTGAACAGGACTTGCCCTTTCAGCTACGACGGCGACAATTCCCCATACGACTCGCCTTCTGCATGACCATCAACAAGTCGCAGGGCCAATCCGTTCGCAGTGTTGGGGTCAATCTCCGCCAGCCCGTATTCACTCACGGCCAGTTATATGTTGCGCTGTCCCGCTGCACTTCCAGTGCGAATGTTAAGGTGGTAGTGCGCGATGTGGACAAGGAGACTCATAAGACGCCGAATGTAGTTTATCCTGAGGCCATTGTGTAGTACTATCTATGAACGGAAGGATTTACCGAAGCGCGCGTGGCAGCGCATACTGTACTTCATTCCTACCCCCAAGCTCGCGCAACCAAAGTGTGGCTCGAAGCCCCCTGACCCCCTGCCGTAGGCAGGTCTCAAGAGCTAGTTAATATTGAAATACATTGCGGCACTCACCAGGAGCTTGTAGCGATATCTCTCAAACACGCGGATATACACAGGAAATACAGCTCATACATAGTCTGCTACCACAAGCACTCCGCCCTTTCTCATAATTGCCAAGCGACCTGAAATCAGGTCGAACGATCCAGCTTCCTTATGCGCCGGGAGCCTCAGCTTCTTGGAAATGGGCGGACGGGCCAACGCAACGTCGCTGCCCTGCCCATTCCGATAATAACCTAGAAGGTCGCGGACGTCTCGGCGACTCTTCAAAGCCTCGACGCAGACATACTCGTCAGGCCTCGGCTCTCTGACATTGACAAAGCGGATGCGCTCGTTCTCGTTGTACTCAATGCCGTGCCTGTAGTATGTCCAGGTGCGCCAGGCGGGATTGGAAGCGTCCTTGTGATTGCGCGCAAAGATAACCAGTTGTTCTTCTGGTGTCATGAGGCGGGGGTAGAAGACCCTGTCGTCCTGGTCGAAGGTGACGGTGCCACGGTGGACAAGCTCCTCATCGCCCGTGACGACGTTACCTGAGCCGTCTGTAGAGAAAGTGGACACCTGAAGCGGATGCCGCGGTCCTCTACGAGCTGCAAACAAGATATGGTGACCGACGACTTGTACGCGCTGCAAAAAATACGTCAATTTCGACGGCAAGGTATATTCTCACGTTACGTACGCCTCGATATCGCAGGCCCGCCTTTGATGGCATTTCCATGTCGTGCAGTAAAACTTGCTGCTCATGAGTGGTCAAATTCATGACAACTACACCGCGTCCTTCACCCAAGACAGCGAAATTCTCTCCAAGGGCCACGCAAGTAGCGTCATAAGATCTGGGATCCTCGTTTCGCACCTGGAACTCGAGGAGAAACCCTGGTTCCGGGTCAGAAGGCCTGAGTTCGAACACAGATATCATGGTTGATAATCTGAGGTAGTCTCGTCAGGACCGGTACACAGTCATGGGATATCACATACGGTTCCTTTTGTCCGACCAGCAGACGCACTATATCACCCCCTTCGACTACCTTGATATCCCCGACGTAGTATGGTAAATCTTCAAGGATGAGAGTTGCCAGCTTGGTCGAATCGGTGGCATCAAAACGGAAGAGCATCACCTCATGCTCGAATCGTAGGTTGACTAGGACATAGTGTCCTCCCGGAACGAGGAACACCTCAGGCATTGAGCCTTCATTGCGATAAATCAGGGGAAACGCGCGTATTGGGTCCAAAACCGGCACAGTCATTATCTTTCGCGGTATGAGGCAACTTTTGGATGCGTCTCGGGGCCGCGCCAAGTGCGCCAGTAGCGACGAGGTCATCGCAAGCTTCTCCAGATCCGAGGAGGTAGCGGACGTCATGGGCGACGCCAGGAGAGGATTCTCATCTTGCAATGGTGGATTATTTCGGATAACCTTCATCCATATCCAGCGTCGGCGCGAGACGGCGTCCAAGAGTTTACATGTCTGCATGGATAGAAAGCATTTTATATCAGCATAGGAAGGTCGACGACAAAGCATGACATACACTTCGGAGTGTGCGAACGTCAAAGGGCCCGATCGTAGCCATGACGCTCGTCAGAATATCCTCTGGCAGATCCAAGAAGTGAAGGCGCTGCTGAGGGTCGAAGACAGCCGCCCGCGGCTCTTCGGTACTGTGAAAATATATGAGGGTGACAACGGACGGTTGACTTGTGGAGCACGCACCTGTCAGGAATATGTGGCACCGACTCAGTGCCATCTTGCGGCGCTATGATTGACGGTGAGGAGTCCTCAGCACGTTCAGACTCCTGGGCTGTGTTCTTCGCGATGATAGCCGTGTGTAAAGTCGCGGATGAGAGATTGAGATAGTCTGACATGGTGTTAGCGGTGATGGTTTCGATGGTTAAGGGCAGCATATAAGAGGGGATGCGGGCGCTAACGCACCTGGACGTTCAAATGCGCGCTGGTCTCTTGCTCCCATTGTTCCACTTGCCATTGTGATTCACGCCTCAAAAGGCTAGTACGAGACCGCACAGAATGGTACGTAGGATGTCAGGACCACTGGCTCCCGTCATCGTTGCACCACAAAGACGAGAATGTTACTCACCGAGTGACGCGCTGAACGGTGATCGGACGGAATGGTGAGCTGAACAGCAAGCCGCCGCCTACGTGAACAAGTCTGCTAACTAGTTTATATCGCCGCGTCCTTTGAACTCGACCTTGGGGCGTGGTGTTGTCGGTCGGTTTCGAGGAACGTTACATGCGGAACCCTGAACCTCATTGAGAGAAATGGGGGAAGGTCTCTCGGGCTTTGCTCCTTCTGGGTAGAGATCGTCAAGAGTGCGCAGATACATAGAACCAGTGCGAATGTGGCGAAGGCCATGCCACATCCGAGCGGCTGCCCGAAGCTTGCGCGGTGGTTTGAGGCAAGTTCCGGCGGATGTCATTTCGAAAGCCACGTGTATTCGGTTGACATGCCAACATCTTCGAACCGTCCCTCCGCAAAGCCGTCCACGATGACGCGGAAAGGATCGTTTTAAAGGAGCATAAGCTTAATATACCGCTTTGTTATCTGACTTCGACGCTCCCTACTATCCAATTGTTGTGTTCGAACCCGCAGTCACCATTCAGACCTCCTGCATCGACGTCGCCTCTATGATCGCTAGAGACTCGGCATTCCTGGGCACGAACTGGCAATCGAAGATCTCAGGCGACCTGTAAACAGCGTTGCCGTCAATCAGCGGATTTATTGAGAAGAGCCGGAGCACTAACTGAAGAATTGACGACTTATATTCACGCACGGCGGGGATCGTACTGCCATCCGGACGCTTAGCTTGCTGGATGTTGTATACGCATAGAACTGAGGCCACCGTGATCCATGCCGACGCAAGCGCTAGGTGTCGTCCAGGACATATGCGTCGGCCAAACTATAGCGTAAGCGCAGTTCAGATGAGAATGACCAAGACTGAGGAGCGCACGCACCCCAAATACGAGACTTGACGGGTCACGGACAGTAGGATCGAGCTTGCCCTCCGGCGTCAAGAACCTTTCTGGCCTGAAAAGATAAGGGTCCGGATACATCACCTAATGGAACGTCAAGTCGCACCAAGGGCGACGCTCGGCATAGAACTTGAACTCACCTCATCGTGCGTGATGGCCCTACAACGAAGTGAGAACGATCACATGAAAACACGACGAACACAGCCCACCAGACGTTCGGAATCAGGATGCTGCCTCTTGAGATGGTATACCCATGATATACGTCGTCAACGTCGCCGCTGTACACGTGCGGGACGGCCTGTGAGTGATCCCGTTAGCCGTCAAGCTTAGGATGCTCGTCGGCAAAGATATTACCATCGGTGCCACTGGGTGAATGCGCATCGTCTCTCTGATAATGGCCGTAATGTAAGGCAATTTCTCCTCGTCGTCAAAGTCTGGCAGCCGTCCGGGATCAAGCACGTTGTCAAGTTCGTCTTGTGCACGCCTCTGAATCTCGGGATTTTCCAGCATATGAAGAGTAAAGTTTAGAAGCGTTGCTACGGTCTGAAGAAGTTCCGTCAACGAGGGTCATCACAGGCTTGACCGGCATACCGTATCCATCGCGCCAGAGTAAGTTATTCCCGCGGTATTCTTAATGACCTCCTCTTGAGCCGTATCTCCCTTTGCACGAGCTTTCTCTAACGATAAGGACACGAAGGAGGTTCGTGAAGGGTCAACTGTCTGCGTAGACGAGTGCCAATCAATGAACGCAAATTCAAGTGCTATACGTGACGTACCATGAGCCTGATTGTTTCCTTGAATGGCGCATTGACCATTTGTTCCGTATCTTTCTTGCATTCCTTCGCATGCCGCTTGAATCCTGCGCCTGTATATATTCATGTGTGACTGCTCCTCGAGCACTATAAGGTACTCACCGGGCATCCAGACGGGCACATGCTTCAGGAGAGGGAAGACATTGACCCAGTAAGAGTTCGGCAGGGCAGCAATTGATGCTTCGTGGAACGAGCGGTCTGCGGCTTCAATATATGGATCGTTTTCCGGCTTCGCATGAATGCCGTAGGTAACGTCCATGACGATGGAGGCGACCATACTGACAAGAGTGAGTGCATGGCTTCATGCGATGACCAGCGGACTTACAAGCGTAGTTCTCGACGCAGATCACGGGTCGGCGCATGCAGCATGCGTCGTAGGAACATGTTTGTGGCCTTCTTCTCCTGAGGTAAGAAGCGCCGTACGGACTCGATGTTGAATAGGTTGTGGAAAGCACGCCTGTGGGCGCGCCTGAGAACACCAGGTCAACCAGAAATCTTACCTTTTGTAGACGAAGGACGCACCACCACGGCCCTAGGGAAGGATGAGATTTCTACGCGTCGGAGATGTATGTGTACCAGACGCACCGTACTTTAGCCCCGCCAACTGGAAGCCCCATCCCATGAGATCCAACATTGGTGTATCAGCGCTTCGATGCCGTCAGCAAGAGTACGATGCGATATGTCGGCCACATACCGGCTCGAGTAATTGCTCGACCGTCGCTCTAGGAGATCGAAGCACGCCTCGAACGACTGAAGCCCGATTATGGACTTTCCCCCGACACTTATGTGGATCACATCCGAGCCTCGAGAAACAGCGTCAGCGTCGAGTTGGCCACTCACTTCAGGGCCGAATTGGACGTACTGCATTGCTTCGACCACTCCGCAAACTTGAGCCACTGAAAGTCGAATGGCAAGTCCAGCAGGTTACCTAGTAGCGGTAGGCCTGGTGGACCTGGCGGTAGAGGTAATTTGGAGTTGCGCTTATGACGCGAGTCCAGATATATTGCGGCGTAGAGAGCTGCAACGAGAAGGACGATTGGCGAAAGTTCAGCCATGGCCAGCTGAGATGGCTGCCTGGAGGTCAACGTGCAGTATATGTAGAGCCAGAAGGTGGGTTCCTCCCGATAAGCTCACAAGGAAGCAGATGCAGGTGACGCGGCGCGGGAGGTCAACACACCCGCGGACATACCAGAATACCCCTTGCATCACAGCACCCTGCATTTGTTCGCAAGACATCGGAGGCGAGATGTAGCTTACTGACACCTTGAAGACCACGGTACGCACCATTCGAGAGATTAGCATGACGACCTATTCGATCTCGCGCACAAATGACGAGCTATTGTTGTGTAACTCAGCGCAGAGATTTGCACAGAGTTTCTTGTGTACGATAGAAACGCGGCACCTGGTCTCCTCCGTTCACGTACCGTCCCCCATGGTATGCGGGGCGAGGAAGCGGCCTAATGCAACATATTCGTCATGAAGCATCTTCCTGCTGTAGAAGTCAGCCCTTCGTTGCATGCACCAGTGGCCGGCAAGGCTTTACCTGCGAGTCTTGCCGGGATCCATAAGGTTGTCCACAAGAAGATGGTGTCATTGATGTCGGCGCTGAGAGAGCCAACGGTCCAGAGGGCACTCCGGTGAAGGCCTTCTAGGAGATGGAGTTGATACCTCGTTCCGCCAATGCAAGTGTTGTGGCCAGATCGCAGGTACGCATCAATAGAAGTAACGAGTACGACATGCCATTGGCGCGAAGGAGCCTAACGAACGTGCACACGGGAGTTGGAGGATGAGAGAGGGTTCATATAGGCCTCCACGGAGCTGCTTCTGAGTCGGCAATCGCCGAGGGTCGCACTCTATGCTCTCCCCAAATTGACTTGTCAGCCTCTATTGCGCCGTGAAATTAGTAATTTCATACCTTTCCCTCTCAATCACGACCAAAGCTTCAGTGCGCGGGCTTTTCAGCAGTGAGAGCGAGATAGATTGGAATACTATTACTGATGGTAAGGTACAGAGGCGTACGATGTGCGTACGAGCGAATATTGCCTCTCCCGATGCAGTCTAGTAATAAATACAGTAATACAGGTATAAATTACGTGTGCTTGCAGCCTCATAGTCCGCTAGTGGCGGCCTCCAAAGCCTGCTCTACGTCGTAAACCAAATCGTCTGTCTCCTCGACACCCACGCTCAATCTAATGAAGTTATCCGAGATCCCGAGAGCAGCACGTTCCGCTTCGGGGATGCTACCGTGCGTCATGAGAGCAGGGTGCTCAGCGAGAGACTCGACACCACCCAAGCTCTCCGCCAGCGTAAAGAGCTTCGAGGACGTGAGGAACTTGTCCGCCTCCTGTTGGCCACCGCGTATCCTGAAAGAGATCATCCCGCCGTAGGGGAAGCCATCCTCGGTACGGTTCGCATCGACGAAGGCGCGTGCATGCGGTGCAAGGCCACGGTAGGCGAGCTCGTTGCGCGGGTGGTTGGCCAAGCCAGGGTAGATGACGTCCTCGACATGCGGAGAGCGCTGCAGCGCGCGCGCCACAGCGAGGGCATTCACACCGTGGGCCTTCATGCGCAGGTGCAGGGTCTTGATCCCGCGCTGCGCCAGCCAGCAATCGTACGCGCTCGGGACAGCGCCGATAGCGTTTTGCAGGAAGCGCAAGCGGTCGGCGAGCTGAGCGTGCCGCGTACCGGAGGGAAGGACGAGGCAGCCCATGACGACGTCAGAGTGGCCGTTGATGTACTTCGTGATGCTGTGCATAACAAGGTCGGCACCAAGCAGGAGGGGGGATTGGTAGAAGGGGGATAGGAAGGTATTGTCGACGAGGACAATGGGGTTGGCGGCATGGGCATGTGCGACCGAAGCAATGCGGGCGATGTCTACAAGACGTAGGGTGGGGTTTGTGGGCGTTTCAATCCAGATCAGCTGGCAAAGCGTCAGTTACGACACCGACGGCCGAGGGAAGGAAGTGCGTACCTTGGTCTCATCTCTGATGGCCGCGGTGATTATGTCCTCATCTGCGGTCTCGAGGTCGATAAAGGTGGTCTCCAAACCCTGATTCTCAGACGCAACGCGCTTCATGTAGCGGAAGGTGCCGCCATACACATCGTTCACGCTGATGATGTGGGCATTGGGGCCGAGGGATGAGATAACGGTTGCGGTCGTCGCAGACCCAGAAGACAAGGCGATCGCCTGGTCCCCGCCCGCTTCTATAGACGCAAGGGTCTCTTCTAGAGCGTTTCTGTTGGGGTTCCCGCTACGCGAGTACTCGAAACCCTGCGGCCGTTTAGGACGAAGGATTAGGGGAGGTAAGCGGCGCACATACCTTGTGGTTACCGATCCCGTGCTGCTTGTAGGTCGTCGATAACGATATGGGCGGGATAACCGCGCCCGTCTCTGCGTTCGCCTCCGAGCCTACGTGGATGGCGCGCGTCCCAAAACCCAGCTGGGCGTGGGGGTGCTTGTGGACGACATGGGTGCCGTTCGAGTGCGCGCCATTCGCGCGAACGCCGTTGGAGTGAAGAGTGCCGTTTGCGACGGGGGCCATGGCGTCCGATGGATAGATGGTGGATGTAAGAGCCAAGAAATGCAGGCCTCCTTTATAAAGAGGGACAGAATATTTGGATCGCCCATGATCATTCGTAAGTCGCAGGTCAGCCGGGTGTGATATGACGAAAAGTCGCGTCTAAGTCGCGCGATCTCGGCGACCTAGTGCGGCTTCGGCACGCTGCTCAGTGATCCGTCCGTGTGGCTCCATAGACTCTACAGTCAGCTGTTCATAGCATCTTCGACGGTGATTACATGTAGCAACGCATAGAGTAGTCGACAACGTATAATTTACAGCATATGCGGGAGCGAGGGGTCCATAGCAGCATGAGCGTGCAGGGAAAGTATGAAAAGGTTGTAGGTAAGGAGGGTGTATGAATACGTAGACGCCACCTGGTGCGGCCGGTCCAATCCTGGTCCTGACCGCCGCTCTCCGTCTGGAAACCAACATCGTGCTCGACCATGAGGGCCTCGGCGGACATACCAGCCATGCGCCAACGCCAGAGTCGCGCCTGCCAGCGCAAGGATGGCATGCTGTCCGACGACGACGGTCGCCATACAAGCACACGAAACGCCAGCACTACTCCTTGTCCGAGAGCGGCGACGACTCCCACACCGCAGACTCATAGTGCGGGTCATCTCGCGCGTGTGTTGGATAGAAACACTTGAGAGGGACCGGCGTAGAGGGTATAGGCACTCGAGGGTAGTCGTAGCGGTAGCCAGTCAAGATTTCGCTCTCCTCAGAATCAGATTGATCGGTCTACATTGTCGTCAGCGCCACTGAACACCCTCCAAGAGAGGTCGCGCACCATCTCGTTGTCCGAGCCGACCGCCGCATCCACGTAAACCTTGGAAGGGCGCGCTTGAGGCTCAGGAGAGTCCTCAATCGTCTGCAGGACCCGCGCAGAAGCGCTCGCAGGTGGCAAAATTTCTTCCACTTCAAACTCGCCCACGTCGACGAAGTTACGCGCGTATCCCGCTGGACTGGCACGCCAGAGCCGTCCGCCGGAAAATCCTGCATTTCCTGTCGCGGCCACGACCATCCGAGCCCCGCCTGCTTCTTCTACCCGCCTTCGGCCAGGAGGCGGGGGCGGTGGGTGCGGCGCAGACCCCAAGTCGCTTGCATCGACCAACTTCCGCTTGCGCGGCGCGTCGCGCAAGCCGCTCCCAGGCTGGCCACGCATGCGCCCCGCAGACACGGATTCGCTGAACGCTGCCTGCGCGTCCTGACGCTGCTTCCCCTTCCACCGAACTCCGTCAATCTCCGTCACTTCCTCATCGCTGCTATCCCCCACTGCCGTCGGGACGACACCCCGCCGCTCCATGTCCTTGCGGACGCGTTCGCGGTCTTCAGCGCGTTGCGCGCGCGATTTGGGGGTTGTCTTGGGTAGCTCGCGATGCTTGCGATCAAACTGACCGCCCAATGTACGCGGCTGGGGTTCCGATTTCATGGGTTGCCCGACTGGAGCCGAAGCAGCGGCTGCCAACTGAGCTGCTCGCAAAGCAGGATTTTTCGGTGGACGGCCGCGCTTGCGCTTGAGAGGCACAGTGGAATCCGCGTTCTCCTCCTGCTTGAGCTCGACGGGCGGAAGCGCGGTGGCTGGCGGAGGAGCGGTTGCAGCAGGCGGATTCTTTGGCGGACGCCCACGCCTCTTCGGTACGGGAACAGCGTTCGGACCAGCAGACGCTGAATCATCGACACGCCGCTTTTTGGCGGGTCGCCCATCTTCGTCATCCGTCTCTTCTCGCTGAGCACTGCGTGCAGCTGCCGCTGCCTGCAATTTCTTGTCCAGCATGGGCAGCGCGCGCGCCGTGACCCGCTTCGCGTGTGCGGGCTCAGGCGTCGTTGAGCGGGGCGTAGGCAAAAACTCGACGGGCTGCCCGTGTAAGGGAGCGCGTCGAGGCCATGGTTGTCCATAGATTGCTTGATGTCGCATGCAACTGTCGATAAGAATTAATATAATCTTAGCAGATCAGTGAGATATGCATACCGAGGACATTCCTGTTTTCCCTGCCGCGTCGCAGAATCGAGATCCTGGCCCCAGACGGGCTGGTAATCCACACAGATCACCGGCAGCACGCTCTTGCATGTTGCACACAGAGGCAGTGGCTTGCCGTCCGGGCCCCTTGGGACCTCCGGTACCTTCGGCGGTGGCTCCCTCGCAGCCAGATCCGCCAAAGACGGTCGTCCACGCTTGGCGGGCACGACCTCGGCATCCTCTTTCTTCACCTTCGCTTTCGTCGGCGAATGAGAACCATTCTTCGCCGACGCTATCGTCACGGGTGATGCACTGACTTCCTTGCCCTTCCCCTTGCCCTTCAGCCGGGTGGAGAATCGTACTGGCTGCTTCGGGGTGTCGTCTTTAGCCGGCTCCTGTTGCGGCGGCTCCGATTGAGCGACTGTGCCAGGCTTGGAGGACTTCGCAGGCGGTTTGTTGGTGCCGTCCACTTCCTTCACCTTCCCTGCAGCCTCCTTGCCCTTGGCCTCGGGCTCCTTGCCTTTGCCGGCTGCCTTCGCCTTCGCTTCAGGCCCCTTGCCTTTGCTAACTGACTCTTTGCCGTTCGCCTCAGCTTGCTTACGGGCGCTCGTGCGCGTCGTACGAGTCGTTGTCGGCGTACGATTAAAGCCGGCTGTAGAGATGGATGATGTCGCGTCCTCCGTGAGCGCCGGGGACGCCAACTGTGTAGTGGGTGGCACGGTGACTGATGCACTGGCTTCGGCGCCTATTCCCAACATCTTCTGCCTCCGGGTGGCGATGATCGACCGGAACGGCTGTTGAGGGCTGATGGTCGACTGCTTGGGAGAGGGCAGCTTGGGCGACGACATCTCGTCGACAACGGTCAGAGGGCTACCGACGGGGGAACCTTCCACTGCGCCGGTAGGAGGTGGCACGGCTGGCGGTGCTCTGCTATTTGAAGGCCCTGCCACCGGTTGCTGGGTGGACCCTGCAGGTTCGGAGTCCGAGGGTATAGGCGTAAGGTCAGAATCGCCCACAGCAACGACCTCGATCGCGCCGGGCGCTGCATTGGCCAGTGGCCTGTTCGTGTTGTCCTCCTCTTCCTCACTGTCGGAGGAAATTGCTTCCACCTCGGGTACCGTAGTCGCGTACACGCCACGCCGCGTGCGACGCTCATTGACGTTGACAGGGGCCTCCTCCACGCTTTCCACGTCGCTGACGTCGCTACCGTCCGAGGACGAGCCCGCATCGTCGCCTTGATTCGCTGGATCGTAACCACCGCGTCCGTTCTTCTCGCAGGTCTCGCAAAGGCAGTGCTTGTTCCCCTTGCCGACTGTGTATCTTGAGCTATGATTACACCGCTCGGAAATTTTGTATACGCACAGTACGAGTCGCCATAATGGGCGGTGACTTCCTGGCCGAGCTTGATAGGCTTGATGACACGGAAGGTGATATATTTGCCTTCACGAAAAAGCTCGCAGTTGTGGTCGCAATCGTGCTGAAAAAGACACCATTAAAGAAAGGTAAAGCTTGCGACGAGAAGGAACTGACGTTTACGAAGCGCGCGGGGCCGAGGAACAAGTGGTTCTTCTTCATCTGGCGGGAATGAATGACGCTGAAATCGCGGCGGATAGCTGAGTTGATTTGCGTCTCCTTGAGGGCTCTGTCCTCGTCCTCGGTCAGGTTGGCCATGGAGCCCTTGAGCTCGGAGATTACGGCGCCAGGGGCAAGGTCACGAGTGGCCAGTATGCAGAGCTCAGACTTGCCAGTGTAGAGAGAGTAGCGGGAGGTGTGCGCGATCTCTATGCAGCCGGAAGGATGGTAAAGTTCAAAGTAGCGAGCGGCGTGGCTGGGGAAATAGGAGTCAGTGTTGAGAGGTAAAAGAACCGGAGGGGGGCCACGCACGTAGCGAAGGCATTGATCTGCTGCTGCGTGTAGCTCTTGAGGTAGTAAAGGACGGCGGGGAGTCTGAGCCGCAAAAATGTGAGATGGATGGCCACGGGGGACGCGACGCATACGACGCACCGGAGGAGTTCATTTACTGCTTCGCGCACGACATGTTGCAGGGGACCCTTAGCAACCACAAGCTGCGCGACGTGTCAGAAAGTGAGAGTGAAGAGGGATGATGACCACGCACGCGTCGAACAATGTTCATGAGCACTGCGGCGTCCGTCTTTGGGAGGGCGCGCGACGAATCCATCTTGTGCACGAGGAGGGGAACGTCGCCGGTGCCGAGCTTCTCAACGAGAAGATGACTGAGAAAGTCATCGTCGCGCGATAGGTCGCGGACGTTCATCATCTTGTTGGTGAAGCGCCATTCAAGGACACCCGTCGCGCGGGCACCAGTGGTGCGCGATGTACTCGCGCTCGTATGGCGCTGCTGTTGCTTCGGCGCCATATTGGGGCCGAGCGTCAGGTGTCAAGGTGCCGCGACCGACAATGGTGGCGGTAAGAGAACAATGGGATCCCAAGTGGATTGTGGCGAGCGAACCCGCCGTGGGGGAACGCAGGCGAGGAGAACTAGCAAGTCACGTTAGGTCACAATCTGAGCGTCACAAGTGTGACAGGTTTGCCGACTTCGTCGTTCAACAGGATCTGATGACCGACGGCTAGCGCGCTTCGAAGTGCGCGCCCTTGCCGGAAGGAAAGAAGACTTCAACGAGCCGCTGCGACCCGGATCCTTTAGTACTCGCCCGGAGCAAGGCATGGCCAAGGAGATAGCCTGTGAATCCATTGATCGGACAAACGATATGCAGCCACCCATGACCAAGTCTGGCCTACCCGATCGGTGCACCATAGGTGAGGGGGACACGTACACAATGCAGCATGTCATTCTGCCCAAGTGCTTGAGGCCGAAGACAAGCCCTGGACTTCCCCATACAGCTCTCAGCACCGCCGCAAGACATGACGCCTGAGACTATACAGAGAACATGAGGTATACAAGGGGAATGTGCAAGTATTGTGCTTTCGTTATGGCATACGGAGATTGATGCGGACCGTCGAGGGTTTCAGCAAAGAGGAAAGGCCAGCAAAAAGCGACAAAGGCGTGACGGCGGTGACGCGGGAGAGCACGTGGCTAAATGATCCGTCGGGGTAAAGCGATCAAGAATGGTTGACCTCGTGCCTACACTCCACGTGGAACGGATCGCGCACGCTGCATGGCCCGATGCCGACGCCAACATCGTCCAACTCGAACCCAAGTGCATTGATGCCGGGAATGGGAGTACTTACCGGGTGCACCCTTGCACACACCTGTCTCGAGGTCGCACGGCTGAAAGTGAGACTATTGAAGTTCCTGAGTGCTTCTTGCGCCAACGAGGCGGCGAAAGAGCGCACGCTGCAAACTAATCAATTCAAGGCGTCGGGCCGCTACGCATTCTGGATCTCTACAGCCTTGTCTCTGACGCCCATCACACATCCGTCTACTCAACAGCAGTCTTCCGCCGCTCACTATGCCTCCTCGCGGTTCCCGTAAACGCGCGCCGCCACCTCCGCCCGAACCTTCCACCCCCGAGGAGGAGGAAGAAGTTGACGAGGAAGAGTCCGAGCAAAACATCGCCACACTCAACGACGATCCCAATACGTCCTCACCCGCGCCTGAGTCCGAAGACGAGGAGGATGCGCTGGCGGAGGAGGAAGCTGACGATGCGGATGAGGAAGACGAGGAAGACGAGATGAAGGAGGACGAGGACGAGGAAGACGAAGACGAAGCACTGCCTCGCGCGCGAACGCTGAAGATTAAGCTCAAGCTGCCGCCGAGCGAGACCGCGACGCCGGACCCTCCCCCAAGACGGCGTGGGGGCAAGCGCCGCGCAAAGGCGCCTGTTGAGGTCGAGTCGGAAGACTCGTCGGACGAGGTCATGCCGACGAAGACTTCGTCAAGACACTTGACGACTCGGCAGGCGGTGCTCGCGCACGTCGCAGACGCGGCCCATGTCGCGTTGGGAGCATCGGGTGCGTAGACCGCAAGTGTTACTTGACTATCATTTACTAAACGTGATACAGAGGCTGAACAAGCGTCGAAGACTACATCTCCGGCTAAGCGACGCAAGAAGGACCTCACAGAGAGCGAGATCGCACTTAGACGCGCAGAGACGGCGCGCAAGCGCAAGGACCTGTCTGAAAAGAAGCTGGAGGATGAGAAGGTGCGTATCCATCTTCCTCGTTCCTCTCATCTCCATCCTGTAACATACATACTAACGCCCCTGCCCCCCTCAGCTCGAAACTATGAATCGCCTGCTCAAACGCAAGGCTGGCGTCGGGCGCGGCAGAAAGAGCGCCGCTGCAATAGCCGCCCTCGCCGCTGGAACGCCACTTGGAGGCGAGTCGGAAGTCGAATCCGCCGAGCGCGAGCCCGAACCCGCCACGATGTATCGATGGACGTCGGACGCGAATGGCATCATGTTCTCTGTGCCACTGGCGGTGTTGCTGGAGCATGGAGTGCAACCGACAAAGCCCAAGCCTCAACCTGTCGAAGGTGAAGAGATGGCGGTCGATGTGCCCGAGCAAACCTCGGGCGAGCCGTCTGTCGAGCCGTCGCGACAAACATCGGTGGCGTTTGACAATGGAATTGCGTTCAGTGCTCCGCCAGAGGAGGCAAAGCCCTCGCAGTCGAAGTCGTGTGCGGTGTCGGGGTGCGCTCAGCCGCTCAAGTACAGGTTGGTCCGCGACTGGACGATTGGAGGATGTGGATTGGAACATTTGCGTGCCCTGGAGAAGGGGGTAGTATAGATTTAGTTTGTACCTCGTCTACCTTGAACAGAGTGTATGCTCGTTGCCACCAAAAGGTCTGGGCCTTGCTTTGCGTGCGAGGGACCGGGCAAGGGCGTCGGGCCGATCTCTGTGATGGGCGACTTGACGACTCGAGATTTCGTTGCTATTCAGTTCGTGCGAAGCTTTCGTCGACGCAGCTGCGCTCTCTCTCGTCTCTCTCCTTCCCCGCCGTCTTCCCCCTTCCTCCTCTCCCTCTCGTAGCCCTGGGGGCGCCTTCCGGTCTTTATCTCTCACCTTCTACCGCTGGTTCGGCACTCCCCACGCCCCGCTGAGCCGCCATGTTCACTCTCAACCGGGCCCTGGTTTCTCTCCTCTTCGTCTTTTCTCTCTTGACGCTGGCAGCGCCAGTCCTCGGCGCGCCGATCGATCCGCGCAACTGCGAGGAGGGTCACGACGGGGCTGCGGCAGCAAGCGCGGCAGCGTCTGGCTCGGGTGCGGCATCTGCAGCTGCGACGAGTGCGGTAGCGTCGAGTGCAGCCGCCTCGGGTGCAGCGTCTTCCTCTGCCGCGGCTTCGAGTGCGGCTGCGTCCGGTGCTGCTGCCTCAGGCGCGGCCACTTCGACGGTCAAGACGGTCAAGACTTCGAATACGTGCGTGGCTTGGCACAGAGCGCATTCGTATACTGATCCTCACGCAGACCCGAGGGAACGATGACGGAGACGTGCACTATCACGCTTACGCCGACGACGAACGCTGATGGCACGCCCGCCTTCACGGAGGTCAAAGACTGCGTAGTCACCTTCCAGTCCACGGCTGTCGTCAGCGACGCGTCTGCAGCAGCAACCAGCGCTGCAGCGACCGCCGCTGCGTCAGGATCCGCAGCGGTCATTGCTAACGTGCGTGGTCTACCTATTCCTTTTGAGCCTCGCTGACCTTGATTCCAGGGCGTGTCCACGGTTACTGATTCCGCGACGTCTGCAGCTGCATCTGCGACATCGGCTGCTGCGTCCAGCTCGGCCGTTGAGTCTTCAGCGTCGACCACTGCCGCCGCGAGCTCCGCATCCGCTGCATCTAGCAACGCTGCGGTCATTGCGAATGTACGTTACCCACACTCTACCTCCTAGATTCATGCTGATCAATCTTCAGGGTGTGTCTACGGTTACTGACTCTGCGACCGCCACCTCGGCGGCTGCGTCTGCCAGCGCGACCGATGCTGCTTCGAGCGCCGCCGCTTCCTCGGCAGATACAGCCAGCTCAGCAGCGGAATCCAGCAGCGCGGCCGAGTCAACATCCGCCGCCGAGTCCAGCTCTGCCACGGAATCGAGCTCTGCCGCCGTGTCGACCTCGTCCGCCGCCGCATCATCCGCCGCGGATTCTGCTGCTGCCACCTCGTCCTCTGCCTCGTCCGCCGCCGCTCCATCCAGCTCGTCCTCTGCGACCTCTGCTGCCGACACCGCTGCGTCCTCTGAGCCTGCCGCTGCTGCAGCCGCTGCATCTGCCTCTGCCACGGAGACGGAGACCGCTGCATTCCAGATTCCCGGCCAAAAGCTGCAGGTCTTGCCCATCGGTCTTGGCGTGTTCGCCGGCATCTCGGTCATTGCGCTCATCGTGGTCGGCTTGGTGACATACGAACGCACAAAGTACCGGCGCGCGTTCAGGCAGCGGAAGATGGCAGAGCAGGGCGCGTCGATGGGCTATGGTGGCATGGCGTGAGTTTCGTGCTCCTTGTTGCCGCTCGAAACGCTGACATTCTTGAAGGCAACGCGCCTAGGTCACTAATCCCACGTTGATGCACGCACTGACCTTCGTTGTCCGTCCTTCATGACCACCTCGTCGTTCCTTGGCCTCGATTTCTGACTCGCATACCGCACGATATCCGTACCGCCTGCTCGATACTCGGTACTCACACCACATGCCCTATATCCGCACCACACGGACTCTGCGCCACCGCCGTATATTCGACCTTCTTCGTTCGAGGACTGTTGTTCCTTGGTGTTCGCTCACGCGAGCAATCCTGCTCGTTCGTGCGAGCATAGCTGCGGTGTACATTACCTATCTCCCTACTTACTGTTTCACGGCTGGATCGGCGCCGCGCGTCGATATGTACATATGTACTTGGGAAGGCAGAAGTGAAGGCCTGGTTGCTCCAATAGACATCTGGGTTTTCGCGAAGGACTTTTTCTCTTGTGTTCCATGATTTAGTTAGAGTTCTATGGATGATGGATAACACCTACAAATGGACATGTGTCCGAGACGCCCAGAGACCGAGGACAATCAAGTTCAACTGTGACAATCATGGGTGGGCGGTAGGCCATATTTGTCACGTATTCAAACTTGTACCCGACTCTCATCTCGCTTCGGCGCAGTTACTTCGATGCAACTCAGAGGATATCCTGTGATGCAAGGTAGCACTGGCTCGCGCAGCATCGACTGTAGGACGTGCGCTCTGTCTGCGACATCGGCCCAGACCCATCCTCCCAGTCCGAAGCTCTGAACCGAACTTCAAGTTCGGGTAGGAAAGCCATTGTTTCCCCCAGGAGCAACGCCGTGCGGAAGACGTGAAGGTCTTCTTCTACCTCGTGCTTGAGGTAGTCTTCCAAATACCGCGCTATTCTCGGAACCATTCATACTAGGCCTTTCAGGCGCGCCCATAATCGCAGAAGGAACAATAGCATCAAGAATCTCAAGCAGATAAAAGGCCCAATGATGCCACAGTGACCCTCGTACTCCTCCCCTCCCGCAGTACGACAGACGCTTGTTATCCTACCCTGCCCCATGAAGTGCCATAGAGTGGCAGCGCCCTCATCTCGGAATTCGGAGCTGGCCTCCATGCGTTTGGACGAGCATTCGCCAGAGTCGGGAATCGAGCGCGATGCTTCCTCAGAGCTGAACGCATCGCCACAAAACCGGTCCTCCATGTCAAACAGGTGTGCATTAGTACGCGGCGTGACTCGATGCCCAACCATTGATACCTGTCCTAGCGCAACAAAGCCGCGGGCGGCTAAGCTCAATCCCATGAAAGTGGTTCAGAGCTTGCGTTTTACGAAAGCGCGCAGCGCTTTTTTCCCATCTCTTGCTCGCCACCACAACGCCAAATTCTCGGATTTGCCTGTAGACATCCTGATGACTATCTTGGCGATGCTCGACCCACTTGAAGTTCTCCTTGTGCGATATGTAAGGCATCACCAACGCTCTCGCAGGACTCTGATTGATTGTCTTGTAATTGTAGTCCTGCAAAGCGGCCGATGTGGCGTCGCGCCAGCGTTGGGTCTGGCTCCAAGTCCTGCAAAATCATCCGCCTCCGAAAGACGCCACCTGCCTTCTGCCCGCACACCATCGGGACACTGCTGCTGCACCGGACCTGGAACGCCTTGCTACATTCTCACTACTATGGCCTCTCATCATGAAGGCAGCCATCAATCGCAAATCGCATCAACGTCGTGGCTGGCTCTATCCTCGTAGACAGATCCCGATCCCTGCTGCCATGGCGCTCGAACAGGGTGGACTGCCACCGGCGGTGTCTAAGTTCGGGACACCCGACATCACTCTCCTGCCTGGCGGGCATCATTTTCTGGTAGAATCGAGTCAGGACAAGAAGCTCAGATTGTGTGAACTGAGCTTGGACGAACCTCAAGTGAAGGAGATAGCCAGTTTGTCTATCGACAGCGGGCCGGAGTATCAGAGAGTGGACGATCATACAATGACTGAAGATGGACGCCTCGTCCGTGTTCTCATCACTGAAAAGTTACTGTGAGTACTTACAGATGCTTGTAACTATATGAGCTGACTCATGTCAGTGAGTCCGATGATGAAGGGTGGTTCTACTCTGTTTATGAGGCCGCGCTCGACGATCCTTCATCCGGCTTCCGTTTGTATGCGCGCAAGCGATGTCCCTTCGCTTTCCCCTCAGTGCTTCGTACATGCGTGGCTTTAGGCATGGACTGCATCGTGTGCGCAGACTACAGAGAGCTACACCTCATGAGTCTGACGCAAGACAAACACAAAGCGTGGATCTACAACGCACAGCGGTCTGAGTGGCTACATACTCAGGTCGGTGATGCCTATAGCAGGCATCTCGTCCTCATGCAGTCCTGTACTCACCCGTTGAACAGGAAGTCCGTATCATAGGGTCGCATGTCATATCGACGACAAAAATACGAGCTCAGCCTGATGAACCACCTCGAGTCCGTGTGTCCGTCTATTCCAGCAGAAGCGGGCAAAGAATCTGCACAGGCCGCGAAGAGCTCATGCATATCGACACCTTCGAGCGAAAAGACGCCTCCGTGTTTTATCCCATGCGTTTTTCCTTGCAACGACCCTTCCCTCTATTTGTGCACTCCCACTCTCGCGACGTATGGGGCACGGAAGTCTTCCACAAGCCAACAATCAGCTACCAACTTGGATCTTCACTCGCTCTATACCAGATTCCTACGACACCCGCGAGAAGCAGATCGCAAGAATGTCTCTGCTTCAATGCATTCCAGGGTCGTGCTCTGTCGAACAGCGGTTTGGCGTGCTATAGTGATGGGGAAGGCGTTGAGATTCGCCTATCTCTTCCCTTTGCTGACGGGGAGATGTCCACCTTGAACGGTGACTTGTCGACATCTTTCGACTTGCTTTCTGGCCGTTTCATCGCTCTCAGGAAGAACGGAACACTCGAAGTGATAGATTACCTGTAGCATCGGTATGGTAGGACAAGAGTACAGGTCCATATATACTTCGCCTATGGAATAATCAGTGTACAGTAAAATAACGCGTGCAATTCTTGTATAGTCTCGAGGTACAATTCGCAGGAGTATAATGGTGATGTCGTCTTCGATGAGCAAACACAGGGTATACATACATGCAGAAACTAAGTTACAAGAAGGGACTCTGGGTATCTCAGCGAATCAGCAAGTAGCCAGCAATCTCATTCAAGAGTTCTGTTCTGGGCCTCCTCTCCTTGAACGGGCTCGCATCGCCGCATGCGAACCCTGGCCCAAGGATTTGGGAAACAATTTGCCTCTAGTCGGAAGTCCTTGGGACGCGTGGAGCCTTCGCAGCCATTCCTCGTGGTATCCGTAGCCACGTCGAATGTCGTCACGACATAAGCGAGCATCATCTTTGTCTCGACAGCCGCGAAGAAGCGTCCGGGGCACTGGTGTTTGCCAGCCCCCCAAGCCAGGAAGTTCGGCGAAGTGCCGACCAGCGCGTTGCGCGGCGCAATACGCTCGTCTGGTGTGCTGGTGTCGCACTCGGAGGGGACTGGGACGGTGGCGACGTAGTCGCTCGTGCCGCTCATAGTCCGTCTGAGTCCACGACACTGCATGATGTGGCTAGGCACAAAACGGAAGCCATCGAAGCTATGTGCATCATTCCCATACACCGCGACATCCGAATGCATGGTAGGGACTGCTGCGAAGACGAAGACGCCGGTGGGGATGGTGGCAGGTATTCCGTCCGCCGTCTTCCGGAAGGTGAAAGGCTTGATGACCTTGCGCATGACGCCGACTGAGGGGTCGACGTTAGCAATGCGCATCAATGATGATCTGCGATAACAGACGTACCATCCCTAAGCGATTGCAAGCGCATGGTCTCGCGCAAGAAGCTGTCGACGAGGTACATCTTGTCGATGGCTGCCTTGTTCCAGCCATCCTCAGCGACAACTTCCTGCACTTCGCTGCGCATGAGCTCGGTGTAGCCGGAATACGCCGCTAGGTTGTACATCGCGTGCGTGAAAGTCTACGCGCCCTTCGTAAGACCTCAAGAGCAGACCACTTTCAGATGGAACTCACCATCGACGTCGTATGCAAAGACGCAAAGTTGGCCGTCAAGATTCGGAGCGCGAGATCGTGCAGTACGTCCTGGTCACCGCCGCCGCCGTCAGCTAAAAGCCAAGTGATCAAATCGTTCTAGGAATATGATCAGATATGCTGAGTGCCACATACTCGCAAACTCACGTTATCCTTTGCCTGAACACCGCTTCTATGCGTTGGCGGTAGACGCTCCGCCAGTATGGGTTCCAGATAGCATTGCATGGTGTGGACAGCCTTTGGAAGGCCAGAGATGACCTTCACAGCGAACCTGAATCATTTCGGTTAGCCGTGAGCTCAGGGACGTTGGGTAAGAACTCACGGTCTTAGAAAGGAAGGGATAATGCTAAGGAAAAGCATAGCCTGCAGTGCCTTGTGCGCAAACCCGGTACAAAGGTCTATGTATCCCTGGTCCCGACCTGCGCACATTGAGTTCACCGTGGCAGCCAGTGATCCTTCCAACTCACATAAAGGTATCCCAACGAACACTCGATTAGTGATTCGACATATGACCTCCGTGACTGTCGTAAGCGCCGGCACTGCCTGCCATCCCTCGCCTGCGTCGTTGCTCAGACTAGTCCATCTCGAATGGTACGTAAAGCTCACCCGAAGTAGGCACTTGATCCTCAAAGACCGCTTGCATCTCGTCACGCATGGCGGGTATCAGGTCGTGGATGTTGTGGGTGAGTTGCGTCTGTAGGACCGGTATGTGGTAGGGGTTCTTGCCAACGCTTTCGCCTAGCACAAGGCTAATCTGCGCTATCTGGATAATCTTCGAGTTATTTATTGACGCGCCACAAAGAATGGGTCATTCACCTCTTCTGCGGCGTCCGTGAATGATAATGCATCGCCCGCGCCACGCCTCAACTCGTCGACTAGAGCCGTGCCGCTGACGACAACGATCCAGCGACTGACGTTCGCGATCTTGAAGGGTTTGCCGGGATACTGCAGATGCTGTCAGCCAAACGACGCGTGAAGGTGAAAGAACGGACTCTGGCGCATCCTTCCTCGGTCATGGCCTTGGCATCCCAGAGAAAGCGTATGGCGCTGAAGTAGGATAGGATGGGCGAGGAGAAGCCCACAGTAGGTAGGGATTCCAACTGTGTGGGTGAGATACAGAATGAACGTCGACTTGACGGCAACATACCTCAGGTTCACCTCGTCGGAAGCCGAGGTAGAGAAGCAGGCAGATGGCAACCAGCCAGTAGAAATGCGAGAGGTCCGTGACATCGCTATGGCTCGCGACGGGCTGGGCGAGAGTGATGTTCAGCATGGAAAGTCGGGGGAGGGGTCCGTGATGACCGTTGCAGAAGAGGGACGCGTCAAGTACCTGCATGCGCCGGCATTTTCTAAGCTAAAGCGGGGACGCGAAAGAGAGGGGCAGACGTCCATGCTTGGTCCTCGCGAATGACGTTGCAAGTCTGTGATTCGGCCTCGCCTACTGCACATTTCGCGCATCATTAACTACTTTAGGCCGTCGGGCGCTCTACTCGCCTGGTGATGACGCCGCGCGCGGCTAACACGATGTTTCAAATGGTGGCTACGCGCTGCGAGGGCTGCCCATGCGTTGCTGTAAGTGTCAACAGGCTGCACGAGGTGAGGGTCCTAGTGAACTACTCGAGTATTCTCCCAGTCATCGTGTATTGAGTGCACGTTGATCATGACAGAGGGCACGACAATGGTGAGTGCACACGGGTAGTATTGATTCCAGTCTGGCTCGTAACTGTGTACATTGGCGCAGTTGGAAGTCGAAGACCGTCAGAAAGGGAACCAAGGCGGAATTAAGAGTCTACGACAACCGGAGACTTCCGAATCCCACGTGATTTTGACAGAATCGACACCCATAGGCGCCCATATGTTTTGCGTTACGACCCATAGCGAAGTCAAGCTGAGTGTTCTAAGTTCTACAACAACACGGCTTACATGAGTTACACGGCACACCGTGTTATATGGACCCCTCGACAGCCTTGTACGTCTTCCCCTCCCTCACCCGCGTCCTCCCCCGAGACCCTCGCACAGCAGACATCACTTGACCCACCGCCTGGGCGACTAGTTGCGCACCCCAGCTCTCGTAAACCACGCAGGCTACCACATTGATTAGTGCTGCGACCAGGAGCGTCCATCGCCCCGACATTGGTAACGGCATCAAGTCGAGCAGGCCGGCCACTGGCTGGGGCGGCACCAACAACACCACTACGTTGAACGCTGTCAACAATAGCAATGCGGCCATGAGCCATGCGTTCGTGTACATGGACTTCCGATACGGCGGACCAATGCTGAAGACCGCTGCAATGAGGATGTATTGGAAGGCGGATGACAAGAAGAGGACGGAGTTCTCGTAGTTCCGCGATTGCAGGTTATTTCCGTGTTCCTTGGGGCCTGAGTGAGGCGCAGTATACCTGCGAGGCTCAGTGAAACGTCTATGTACTAAGGAGCTGGCTTACCAGTCTTGGTCTCTGACCCACAGGAAAGCCCAAACTTGCACGGCGCCGGTGATGATGATTTGTCCGATGATGCTGGAGAGCACCTTTTTGGATACCAAGCTCGCGGTTGGCCTAGTCGGATGAAGGCGGGGATAGGGCAGTGTACGCGCCACTAGAGTGATGTGAGCGAGAGGCCGGAGGAAGACGGTTCGGATTGACGTGACGCACTTGCTATGGCCACAGGAATGATGATGAATAAGTCGATATACAGGAACTACGAGAAGTTAGTGAGCTCAGCGATGCACAAAGAACTGTAAGGCTCACCTGGAAGTCTCCCAAAGATGATGCAAAGGAGTACAGCAGCGTAACCGATGTAAACTGGATAAGCGAATACAATGCCCTGGCCAGCTATCAGTGAAAAGATCCCATCCAACTACGCCGAGCACGCACATATACTTGAAGCAACTGAAGCTCGTCACCAAAGCTGCCCTCCCTTCCTTGATCACCTCGATAACACAGCCAATATCCGGCGTGCTCGCCGTGAACGGCGCCGCCACACTGGCCTCCGCCTCCGACAAGGAGATACCCACGTCCGCTGCCTTCAGCGCCGCACAGTCGTTCGCGCCATCGCCGCACATGAGTACAGAGTACCCAAGTCCCTGCAGACGTTCGACGACCTCGTTCTTCTCATCCGGTGACATGCGCGCAAAGATCTGCGCCTTTACCAGCATCTATGCGATGTCAACGAATTAAACTGGAACCGCGGGAGTGAGAACGCACTCGTTGCAGCGTTTCCAGGGGCGCATACGTGATCATCCACCGGAACACATCGCCGGTCACCACCAGCGCGAAGTCTTGCGCACCCGCGTCCGGGTCCACAGCATGATGGGGAAGAGGAGGGAGAGGCTTCAAGCTGTAGCTATCCAGCTTCCACGACATATCATCCATGGACGACCATTCCAGCCTGGCGGAGGGCACATTCGGGCCACCGCGCACGAACTGCGGGGCGAAGACCTGCGAGGTCTGGCTAATGAGACTGCATTCGCGGGCAACGCTGACTGCAGTGAGCGGGTTGTCGCCGGTGATCATGCGGCAGGCAAAGTGGGCGCTGCGAAGGGCCTGGATGGCTGGCGTCGTGCCGGGCTTGAGCTTGTTCTCGAAAATGACCAGGCCGAGGAAGCGGAGGCCGGACTCGGCTTGCTCGCTGGTAGACAAATCAGCGACGACGAATATGCATGGAAGATCGCGCTTACCGCTTCATGCGCTGGGCCTTGAGCCAAGTCAGACCTTCAATGCTTTTGCCTGCAATCGCAATGACACGGTAGCCGCGCTTGGTGTAGTACGAGAGAAGATCGTCGTAGTCGGTCGGGACTAGCGCGCACGGTGAGACTTACTCGTGCATGCAGAAGAGAAAGCACGCACAGGAATCCTTCTCGCAGATGTCACCCATGACTTCCGGCGCACCCTTCACGTAGATCTCCATGCTGCTACTACGCAGGCGCTTGACCACAACACTCATCCTGCGCAGTTGCGAGACGAACTCGAAGGTCCTGATCACGCCGAGTTCCAAAAAGTGGGCGCGCTGCAGGGCAGGTCAGCACCTCATGATATGCAACCAGATTAGCTTACACACCTTAGCACCGCCCTTCAAGGCATCCTCAAGCTTGAAGCTTTCACTACCCGGCGGACGGACGACGACCTGCACCAGCGATGCCTGCTCCACAATCTGGCCCGACTTGTCCTTAATCGCCCCCACCCCCGCCGCACGCCCCTCATCCAACGTCCACCGCGTAAACTCGAACATCTTCGCATCTAACGGGTCCCCAATAACCTCTCCATCGATGACCTTCAAAGAGTGGCACGTCGCCAGCGCATGCAGGAACGAGCACTTCTCCTTGCCCAGTGGAATCGGAATATCGACCGGGTCCTCGATGAGCTCGCCGAACCGGTTGATGCCACGCTCCTGCCCGCGCACGCCGAGGATGTCGAGCCCGTCCTCGGTGAGCGTGCCGGTCTTGTCGAAGCAGCAGACGTTGATCTTGCCGCCGACGTTGACGCGCGTGGGCGAAATGCAGAAGATGCCGAGCTTGCGGAGGCGGCCGATGGCGAAGCTGGTGCCGATAGAGAGGGTAGCGGGGAGGGCAGGCGGGACAACAACGGTGATCAGGTCCAGAGCACGAACGACGATGGTGTGCCATTTGAGCTATATATTTGATCAGCATTGCCATCCAAGAGCGAACGCGCTCTACGCACCCCCATCTCGACGAACTTCACCGCGCTCACAGCGAAGCCCAATCCAGCAATACCTGCCAGCACGCAGATGAAGCGGACAGAGTCGCGATAGAACTTAAAGCCAATTGGCTTCGGGTATAACATAGACCGCACAAGGGCGCCCTTCGTGGTGTTGAAGCCTGTACGGACAACCATCGCCAACGCCGGGCGCCCAGGAGTACTGTCCGCAGTCATCACGCTGCGAATCCGAATGATGCGAGTGCCCGCATAGAGGAAGGACTTCCCGCTCTCCTCCTTTTGCTCCCGCCATTGCACGAGATCGTCGTCCTTGGCCGGAATCTTGCTGACAGGTACGCTCTCGCCAGTAAGCATGCTCTCGTTGACAATGGCGTCACCAGAGAGCAGGAACATGTCGGCAGGGAACATCGTGATATGCGACCTGGAGAGGTTGATGATATCGCCTGGCACCAGCTCTGTCGAGTCGCGCTCCATCCCTGTCGTTCGCGGGTAAGAAGAGGTAAGGATGGATAGGCAAGGCGTACATACAAACACCGTCAACAAGGACATCCAGTTGGCATGAAAACTGCGACATCTCCCGCATCCTCGCGATGGTCTACACAGAGAGATGAGCTTCACCAAAGACACCCATGGACAGTACATAACACACCTTCTTCGTCTCAATCAGCGTGCTCGTCACGCTCGCCACCGAGATCAACGCAATGCAGAACGCGTAGTAGTAGTAATCATCCAGCGACCACAGGATAACACTCGCGATCTGAAAGACGTAGAACGGGTGTATAACCTGCCAAAGCTTGTCAGTCGCCAGCTTCGGCATACATATGTTCTTGTACCTCGTCGACCAGCAACCCGATGGTGGATTTTCCCTCAATCTCGATGTCGTTATTGCCGAAAACGATGTTGCGCTGTTTGCGGGTAGGTTCCTCGAGGCCTGGCTCTACGGCCTTAACGCTCGACCACGATGGGTCTCGCCATTCGCTGCGGGGGGTCACTCCTGTGAGCGAGAAACGGAAGGTACAATGATATTCACCGGACCATACTGAACAACCCGGTTCTCGGATCCAGGGCGAAGCGAGAGTAGCGGTAGTCCACAACCATGAGCTGCTTGAGCATCTGGGTGTCTTCGTCATAGGAAGGGCTCGAGTTATCGTGCCAGCCATTCGTCATCTCGTTGGACTGGTCGATGGCAGGAACGGTAGGGAAGACGGTGGTGACATGGAAGGGGTAGTCAACGATGCGAACAGGGTACAACGTAACATCGCTGAAAGCAGACTTGTGCACGATGAGCGTCTATCCGTGCCGTAGAAGCGCCACACTCACCTCAATGATAATGAGTCCTTCACCAAGCTCCTTGAACGCCTTCTCCCTAGTCACCCATCGCAGCCATATTCGAGGGATCCAGTGACCGAGCAGGGCGAGTATGCCAAAGGAGAGTATGATACATATGCGCCACAGAAGTTGGCGCCACCAAACGATCTCGCACCCAACGAAGCGTATCGTTTGGTCCTCATCCGCGATGTACATTATCTGTCGGCTTGGGGGACCAGGAGGCGGCGGTTCCAGATCGGCGAAGGGAGGGCCCATATCTACGCGAGACTCATTCCCAAAGACAGGGTCGGCAGCGAGTAGGGGGATGCCTTGGTCGTCCGGCGCTTCTGCATCGGAGCCGTACTGCATACTGCCAGTGAGAGAAACGGTGTCTCGAAGGTCGTTCACGGACCCGCTGGACTCAGAGTCGGAAAAGTCTTCAGCGGAGGAATACCCCCAGCGTTCGTCTTCATCTTCCCCGGCCTCTGACCCTGCTTCGGAGGGCCGGCGGCGCCATGAGCGAGAAATGGATGCGGAAGAGCGCTGAGATAAGGAGGGGCGGCGTGATGATGGTTCGTGACGTCCGAATAGGTTCGCGATGCTGCTGAACATGCCAGCAGGTGGTGCGGGGGACCGCCGCCGCCGTGGGCGTCCCGGACGCTCATCATCATCCCCTTCCTCGCTCTCCGCATCGCTTGCGACTACTGAACTCTGCCTCGACACCTGGCTCGTCTCACTCGGTGCCCGCCGCACGCGCGGCCTCCCCGACACGCCCGAGTCGCGGCTACCGCGGCGAGATCGAGAGCGTCCGCCCTCGCTGCTCCGCCTCGTCAAGCTATGGGCCATTCGCGATACGCTGCTCGGCTTGATAGCGTGCCCTGGCCCCGCGAACATCGAGCCCTGGTCTTCGTCGTACATATTGCTGTACTGCGACTCCCTCCGTGCGCGTCGACTGGCCGCCGCGGCGCTCTGTATGTCGATGGCGGACGCGCCCTCCGTATAGTCATGGCGGGCAGTCCCATTCTCGCTGTTGGCGACGCCGTTGGAGGAGCCGGCAATGGGTGCCATCTCGATGGCCGTGCCGGGAGAAGGAAAGGATGGATCTGCAGAAGCCGGGGCCAGGTCGGCAATTTACGCAATGTGACTGTGATTTGGTTGTGCACGCTGCGTCCTTGACGCGCTGTCCGTCGATCAGAAAGGCAAGCACAAATTGGGTAATTCTGCCGCCTCGTGCCGGCTCACACGCTTGGCGCGCTCAGTGGACCCACAATGAATTTATATTGCTAGCTAGCCAGCCTTTCTATGTACTCATCGCTCATTTTTTACAAGTATTCGGGCCGAGGCTCAGGCCAAGGGATCTCCAGCTTCCCCTCCAGGCCCAACGCGCGCCACGCTGTTTGTATAATGGATCCCGGATACATTGGCGAGTAGAGCTTCCCCCCAATATCCGTCATGATCCCCAACAGCACAGGCGTCGTCGCCGAGAACCAAATAAACGTCGCCAGCGCGCCTAGCGCCCGCGTTGTCCGGCTCTCCTTGATGCCCAATCGGTTCCCCATCCCGATGACACCGTCCTCAAGCGTGATCCAGATAGTGAGGCGAGTACGGTGACGCGGAGAGCGGGCCGGGCTCGGCTCACGGAGATGATGAAGAAGATTCCCACGAGGTTACTCTGTAACGAAGTCTCGATTGAAAACCTTGCCCTCCTCCCTTGGAGGAGGGCCCTTTTATACCTACAGCTGTAAGTAGTCATAACTAGTCACGGAGTATATATACGAGTCATTAGAAACCAGGAGAACCTCAAGGAACTCCAAAGGAAAATACCCCCGCGAGAGGTGAAGGTAGAGCACGTGGCGTCGGCTAAGGCCGAGGCGTCACATACCCCCCTCCAGCGCCTTCTAAGGCGCTCTGTAAGTACAGTAGCAACCAGTAAGTAGCACGTATGTATAGAATAGAAACGAGTCTTTGTTTTTGTATATATTTCGAACCTTTTCTGTAAGTAACTTTCGAGCCGTTGTTCTGATGATCTCTGGTAAGTAGTGAGTAACTACTGGTTCCCCTTGCCCTCGCGCCGCTTGGCACGGTTCGCCTCGAAGGCCTGCTGACGGCGGGCGTTCGACAAGCGCCCCTGCATCGCCTCGATGGCCGTCACCTCACGAAGGAGGAGCTCCTCGTTGGTGGGCTCGGGCACCTTGCCCTCCACCTCGTCCATGTAGCGATGCGCGGCCGCTCCGCTGCTGATGTCGAGGATCTGACGCACCCAGAAGGTCCGATCAATGCGCTGCTCGTCGGGGATGGGTCGGACTTTGCCGGTCGCGAGGTCGATCGGACACATGTGCTTGCCGAAGTCGACGCGCTGGAGGATCTCCACGAACTCGGCATAGCCGGACGGGACCTCAACAACGTCGTGGCGGATTCCAGTGGCAGTGATGCCGTCGCTGAAGCGCATGTACTCGACGAGGATGGTGAGTGGGATGCGGTAACTGAAGAGGTATTCTTCAGGGTCGTCGCGCGCGTAGATAGGGATGACGAGGCGGCGTCCGCGGATCTCCCACGTCATGGGAACGATGCGGCGGTGGGCGGATTGGGCCGGGCCGCGTGGCTTGGCGCGGCCGAGGAGGAAGCCGTCGTCCTCGGAGGCGCGCTTGGCGGGCGTCGTCTCAGCGGCGGCGGACGGAGGCGCGGTCTTATCCGCACCAGCGTCGGCGGCGGCGTTGACGCGCGGGATGGGTTGCTTCATGACGTCGGAGCGCGCGGCTTCCTGCTGGCGGATGCGGTCGGCGATGATACCGGCATTGTACTTGGCGCGGGCGGCCTCCTTTGCGCGGAGCGCGGCGGCGGTGTCGACAGGCGGCTCGCTGTCGATGAGGGTGGAGGCGGCAGAGCCGGCGGCGTCGAGGACGGACGACATCGTCTTGGGCGCGGTTGCCGGCGGGGCGGCCTCGGAACTGGGTGGGTCGACATCCATCGGTTGGACCGAGTCCGCCTTGTTGCCATTTTTGATCGCCGGCGCCGTTTTGGCTTTGGTGTGGGAACGAGTACCGACACGGTTGGCGTTGGGCGAAGGGGAAGGAGAGTCGGGAAGCGGAGGTAAGGTAGAAGGATCCATAGTATGTATGTAGAGAGAGGAAGAGGGAATGGAGTTGGGTTGGCATACTGACTGTCCATCCCTTTTAAAGGGATCCCAGCTAAGCCCATTACCCGATTCGTCGTGAATCTCGCCATCGGGAACACGAGGCTCGATCGTGAGTTCGAGATTCCCTACATACAATTGGACATCCCCGGGGTCTGGTTCAGATCCAGCCGGGAGATCACCCGCTTTGTCAACGCCAAGCGCCTCGAGGTACTGCTTGACCTTCTCGAGGGTGGCGACATTCTTGATTGGGATCCAGGACATGTCGCCCGGCTTCCACTTCACCTTGAGTACTGCATCAGCACCCTTGCCGTGATGTCCCACAATCTCCTCAATTGCCCATTCTTTCTCCCAGGCACCGAAGTCGGCCACCTGAGTCTCAAGGCGGCCCGGAAATAGCCGATCATCATTGGGAATATGAATTCTCAATAGAGACGCGTGGAAGCGCGGGTGTATTCCCCGCTGCTTCAACTCCTTCGGGAGATCGAGAAGGAAGGCCTCATTGCCTAGATCCTTCAGGATGCGGTACGGTCCAATGAACTTGGGAAGTAGCTTACGAACGCGGCCCTTCGGGAAGTTCATGTTGGCAGTTGAGACATATACTAGATCGTTCTCGGCAAAAGGCGCACGGATGCGGCGTCGATTGGCATCACGTGTCTGCTTGACACGCGCGGCGAGCACTGCGTCATGAGCCTGCATGATGGCCTGCTTGACGCGGCGCGCATAAGTCCGCACCCCGGGATATTCCGTCGTGGGTGCGTCCTCCCAGATCATGGCGCGGGGCATGCGACCAGTATTCAGGAAGAACGGTGCATACCCCGTGCTCTCCGAGCGCACGGAGTTGATCGCAAACTCAACCGCCGGCAATTTCAGGACCCAGTCCGATTGAGCGGGCTCGACGCATTCGCGTATCATCTGGACAACTGTCCGATTGGCCCGTTCAGTTGATCCGTCGGTCTGCGGATGGTATGCGGTTGACATGCGCAGTTCCGTTCCGATCAACTTGTGCAGGTGAGTCCAGAATATGCTCGTGAAGAGCGAATCCCGGTCACTGACTATGTACTTGGGGAGCCCATGTAGCTTATAGACTTCCGCAAAGATAATGTATGCCAGAGTCTTGGCAGTCACATTAGTACGCGTCGGAATAAGATGTACCATGCCGGTCAGCAGGCAGATCACGACGAGAAGGTAATTGAAGGTCCCATTGTGATTCTCGCTCTCGGGAAAGGGACCCGTGAAGTCTATCCCGATAGCTTCCCAAGGCGTGCCAGGCACCGGCAGGGGATTCAATAGCCCGTACGGCTTGTGATTGCTGGGCTTATTCCAAGCGCACGTGGTGCACGACGCAATGAACTTCTGTACGTCAGGCACCAGCGTCTTCCACCACACCTGATCACGGAGCACGGGGATAACCTTAGCGGCACCGAGATGCGCGAGTAAGGTGTGTGCTTCCTGAATAATGAGTCCTCGCACGGAGCGACCACTTTCCTTGATGTTCGGAATGCACAGCAGACGACGAGAGTCCTGCTTCAGGAAGATGAGTCCGTCAACCACCTCAAAGTTTCGGAAGTGACTGGGTTCTTCCAATATCTTGGCAAAGAATGGATCGTCCTGATACTTATCCCGGATCAGATCTTCAATGCGTACACCCCGTGTGTGATTGGGTATAGCCGTCAAGATAGGTTCCGTGAGGCTAGGAGGTGCGATATCATTATCTTCGTCACCTTCCGCGCCGACCGAGGTCGAGACACGTGTTTCCTCTGCTGAGGCTGGTGTCTTGCCTGTCGGGTGTTCTGGTTCAGATTCCGACATCTGGACAGCACTAGGTATGTCTATATTCGCATCCTCTGTAATTGGGCTGCCGACGTCGGGCGACGACGGGCTGTCTTCGACAGCGCGCGAGTGCGCGTTCTCTCGGGTACCCGAGGGGTACTCGGAAGATGCCGAATGTGATGTTCCGCTGACATCACCTCGCGTGGCTTGATCGGAAGCAAACGCGTGATGAGCTGGCAGCGCGTTCTGCGCTGCTTCCTTCTCGCTCATCTCGTCTTCAAACGCGTTCGGGTCACTTGCAATGGGTTCGACAGGGTCGTCTCCCCCCTCCAGACGCGGCGCGCGTCTCTCAGAGTCGCCATCCGCTGCG